CAGCGTCCCCACGATGCCCCGCCACAGGCCTGGGCCCCCTCCCTGCGCCGAGGGAGGTGCTGGGCTCCCCGGGCCGCCCTCAGGGAAGCGGCAGAGCTGGAGGAGCACGGCGCGGGCACGGATGGAGAACTCTGCACCGCCTGCCCGGCCTGGCTCCAGCGGTGCTGTGCAAGGAGGCAGCTCAGCCGGGAGCAGAGGTGAGCTAGAGCCACTCTCCTCCTTCTCACAAGAGTATAAAAATACCAGCATAACTTGTCTTAGCTTTTTTTCTTTTTTTGAGTTTTGGGTTTGTTTTTTTTTTTTTTTTACCATTTATAAAAGGCTTTTACCAAACCAAAGTGTGCGCTCCTTTAGACTTCTGTTCCGTCGTGCAAATTGCTGTGGGCTTTGACTTCCAAGTTCACCTGCTTCACCTTCCTGCCTTTCCCCTCGCAGACGCCCCCGGTTTCCCTCAATATATTAATGTTCCTCACGGTGCAGTACCGGCTGGGGGGGGGCCTCCCCCCCCCCCCCCAGCTCCACCTTGGTGTTCAGGGGATGCTCCTCCGGGGCGGCTCTGGCAGCCTCCCGCTTCCTCCGCAGCTTTCGACACTTCCTGGCGAGGAGGCAAACTCCCGAAAGCACCAGCAGCAGCAGGGCGATGGCAGCGAAGGCGCTCCCCAGGGAAGCGCCCGTTTGAGATAAGGAGGCTGCGACGGCGGCTTCCTCCCTCTCCAAGATCAGCGACTTCATGTTGGTGCCGTTCTTGATCTGGTCGCCCTCGTTGTCGTAGATTAAGGAGTCATCCAGCATCAGCCTCCCGTCGCTATCGACCAAGTCCCTGCGGCCGCGTTTCCAGCGGCGAGTGAGGGATCGCTGAACGCGAGGCCCTGCCATGCTCTCTGGGCCAATTACGTAGATGACTTGGAGGTACCACTGGTGTCCAGCTTCCACCTTTAAGAAAGGGAAGACATGCACACAGGAAATTTTAATTACGGCCTTCAGATCAAGCGATTCTGTTAAGTGAAGGTAGAGCTGGTTGCATTTTTCGTCCCGTTTCTCGACTCGTGCAAACACCAACAAAAAAGCTCAGCGTGTTTTTATGAGCGCCTGCAGTAGTATTTATCACCAAGTGAGGTGTTTGGTCTTGTTGGCAACTGCAATAAGTAATTCGGGAACATTATTAATAGGTTTTTAAAGAGCTTCTTTCCTGAGTGCTTTGGAAAAAAGGGAAAATCTTAATCACCAGAATAAATTCCTCATCTCCACTTTCTGTGCTGGAGTTTGCTTCTTAAATGGCTCCGCTGTTAACTTACGGCACAATCCTAGCAACGCCAAGAAGCCCCTTCAGCAACCAGAGGTCACCGAGTTACAAAGAGGGCCTCTCTGGGGAGGGACAAAAAAGCCCAGAAGTCAGGATATAAAATTCTGCCCTCGATGGAGAGCTTCCTCCGTGTCCCTCCTGTTTCTGCCACGATCTGCTCGGCTCCTCCGAGTCTCACACTCGCCAGCCCCTGCGCACAGAGAGGAACCGCAACCCTGTAATTGGGAAGGGGTGCGGAGAGCTCCGAGCTGCCTTCGGAGGAAGGGACAGCACGGTTTACGTGCTCCGCTGCTGAACCGAGACTCTGATTTCTCACCTCGCATTAATACCCAGGCAAACCAAGGAGAGGCCTGCCACAGGACGGTCTGCAAACTGATCGTGTGTACGTGAGGCCACCTCGCTTCACGGAGGCCATCTTGGGGGTGGGTGCGGAGGCAGCGCGTCCCACCACGCCATCGGAAAAGTTGGCTGAGGGTTGCCGTTGAACTGCAGAAGGCTGCAAGGCCTACCCTAGCATGAGTTTGGTTTCTCTAGGCAGCGTCAGGCCCAGAGCCTACAATTCACAAAGTATTTGGGACGCCCTGGACAGAGAAGTTAAGTTTTGGGCTACCGATATCGCTTGGTACGTACCTTGTAGAGAGCATCCACCTTGAGAGTAAATCCATCGACTCCGGGCATGCTGCTTACCGAATGAAACTCGGACAGTTCGGAAGCGAAGTGGGCATCGAAAGGCACATCGTGGAAATACTTATCCGTCACTTCTGGTTGGTTTCGGTCCTGGAAATCGGAGAGGCGTTATGAAGAGGACTGCAGGCTGTCATCTTTCCAAAGGGAAAGCCAGAAGCCAGGTCACTAAATAACACCTGCGTACCGCTGCAGAAATGGAATCCAAATGCCCAGTCTCCACACCTTCGTGTGGGCACGGACACTTCTTTTAAATGCATAGCTTACTGCACAGAAAATGTTTATGACCTGTATGATTTGTAGACACTTCGTACTGTTTTAGCACTGACTGTGTCAATATTCGGTTTGTAGAGCTGAAGATCAGGAGAAGAGTTTAACCAGCCTGCTCAAATATGCATGCCAAACTAACACACACCACTAACATTACCCTCGTCCTGCGAGTGGTAACGGGGCTGCCGGCGAGGACGCTGGCAAATGTTAACTACGAAGCATGTAGTAAGAGCTGAACGCGTCTTGGCAGCTCATCGTAGATTTATACAAGAAGAATTTCTGTGCAACTGGTAAATAAATCTCCCCTTATACGCCGCCAGTCCCGTCAATTCCAAGCCATAGTATAAGCAGAGATCAAGGGAAATTTTAAGAGTTTGGTACATCGCTTCTTTTCCTTCCTAATTTGTGGTTTGTTTCTTTTTTTTAGACTAAGAAATACTCATGGATAAAGACTGAGGAAAAACTGATCTTGTCTTCACATGGTTTGCACCTGTCTGCCCAGTACTGCAAAAAATCCACCACATTTCACTTCTCATCCCTTTGTAGTCAGAATCTGTTCGTAGTTGGGAAAAAACCCAAACAGAAAGCAGAAGCAGAGGGCAGTTTTGCAAGCGTTTCAGACCCCTCACAGACGAGGGAAGCGTTTAGCACAGGCACCACGCTTTATTCTGGCTCTGGTTTTCCATGCACAAAGGTGCAGGTGGCTGGGAGGGTGGCAGGGTCTGCCTGGAGACTCTGCAGGATCTGGCGGGGTTTGGGGGTGCCCGGGGGAAGTCAGACAGAAAAACAACAGTGCTACGTCATCTGGGACAGTCAGGCCACTGAGAACAGGCGGACTGAAACAGCTAATACGAGCTAAACATCAAGATGTGCAGCCCCTCCCGACAAGTAGGAAGGCTATTTAGTTCCCCGGTCTGTTAGGTCAGCAGGAGGCCGAGAGACCAGACTTCTCTGGACACGATCACACACAATACTCAACATCGCTGTTTTGTCCACAGCAGAAAACTTACCAAAAGGAGAAATCGGTGTTTCAGGTGCTTGTTGGGTTGAATACAGCCATACTGGGGCCCCTCGTTATAGACGGTGCCCGTTGGGTCAAAGAAAGGCACGTAGCCATCCTTGCCCGTACACAGATAGACTTTTTCCAGCTGCAGTTTGTAAGCAGCATTTAGGTTTTGTTCGGGGTTCCAGAGCACGCGGCCGTACAGGATTTGCCCTGAGGAGGTCGGGAGAAAAACGGTCAGGTTACATTCTCCAACTCAACAAGAGAACCACTGCTAGAGCCAAATGCACCAAACTACACATGGCTCTGGGTTTTGCAGGGTTTTGATTTGCGTGTGCAGACGACAGAATACCGTGCCGGAGCACGTTCTTGTCTTGTCTTCTGGTCATGCCGTTACAGGGCTGTAGCATGCTCAAAATGCCATTTGTTGCTGGGAAAGAGGCAAAGCCAAATCTGGGCTTCACCCTTCTCTTTCAGAGGAATGGACGTTGTGAAGACAGAAACATTAGGTACAAGCAGAACAGTAAAGAAAAAGAAAATAAATCCTACCCTTTGAAAAAGCCCCCTTGTAATCCATTTCTGCCAGAGACATTTCGGATTTGGTGGGGTCCATCAGAAACACCTTCTCGTTGTTACAGAGCTGAAACTCCGTGTTTAGGGAGTAGACGACAGGAACTGGGCGGTTTGTCTGCTGGAAGGCAATCGGGATCAAAAATCTAAAATTGGGACAGGAAAGGAAAAAGGAGAGGTTTAGTTTGGACGCATCTCAAGTTACACGCTGGTGACCTACACAGCCTGCTTCACCCTTCTTCCCTCCCGCTTTACTATCTATAGTCTAGCAGCCCGTACTACGGTGGTGTTCAACCCCAGGGGACTTGTTGCCCCTCACCCAACCCCAGTTTTCCAGCAGCGGTGCAGGGCTCTGCACGACCAGCTGAAGCCTCCTCCCAGCAGGTTTGATTTTCTTTCTGTCCGGGGAAAACCGAAGGCTACGCGGGCTTCTGCAGCCCCGAGGCTGAAAACCGCTGGCCGAGATGTACGACAGCCCGGGACGGCCCCTGTTCTGGGAGTCCGCAGTCTCGCTAGGCGTGACAGAGGAAAGGCAGGCACACGGATGAAGGCAACTTTTTTTAAGACAGTTCTTTTTTTAAAGAAAGCAAAGACACCTGCCTTGTGCTCAGGAGTAACAGACCCTGCCGTGCTACAGACCGTCCGGAGGACCCCGACCCACCAGCCCAGCCCAGCAATCTTTCACCGCCCTGAGTGGGAATGGTCTCGGGCGCAGGGGGACTCCTGAGCCAAAGGAGAGGTTCCTCCCCTCCCCTTTTCCCTTCCCGCTGCTGTTGTAGCGTGTCCCACGCCTGCTGGGACCACACAAACAACCCAAACGGGCTGAAACTGTCCTGCTGCCGTGACGGTGGGGGGCTCCTTACCGCTCAGGAGCGTGAGCCGTGCAGGGCAGGGGCTTGTCTCCAGGCTCTACCCACGGCTGCGTGGGCTGCACAGTACAGGGGACTAAGAAGATCGTGTACTCTCCAGAGTAGTCCTTCCTGGGAACAGACAGGAGACACTGCGGTCACCGAACGAGACTCCAAGCTGTTCACCCAGCTGACGTGTTTAACTAACATCCACCATTTTCTAATTAGTGTAAGCAGGCAAGACAGAGTTCATAGCAGGACCTCTCCCTCGCCCCAGAAATGTCCATCTACTCCAGCAGTCGCAGGAGGGACAAATTTCACCTGCGGTGTTTAATCTGACCCTCTGTGCAAGGAGCACAGACTGTAAGAATAAACAGTCACAGACAGAACTAATAATGAAAAGGAATTTTTAAAAAAAGTGAACCAAGTATTTCTAGATCTTAATATACCTGCCTCCACCAAGCATAGCACTACTGATTAAGTCAGTCGTGGACGCGACATCCTGCTTTTAACTTGCAGACTGCAAAACAACCTTGAATACATTGTCATCTCCGGTATTTAGCTACCCACTGGCTTAATTGCTAGAAAAACGCATTTACAAGGAGATGAACTGATTTTTCCCTCTACTAACACAATCAGTAGAGGAGCATTTTCAGCCTTGACAGCGGCTCCCTGCATGCTCTAGCTCTGAGCCCTTGAACAAGGCTGGCTCCTGACCGCTCCACACTATCGCTGTGGCTGCTGAAAGGGCAACAGGGATTGCTCTCTCAGGCCTGGATTTGAAACTGCCCCGCCGCTGCTGTTAACTACCTGCACGTTCGTTGCTTAAGAAGAACATTGTGCTGTGGGAAGCTGCTGAAGGTGGCCGAACCCGCAGTCCTCACCTGTTATAGGAGCTGGTTGCTCTCCAGAGCTGGTAGGGAGAGTCGAAAGTCTGTGCGCTCCACAGCAGCTGCAGGTCAAATTCGATCCCTCCCAGGTGGTCTGGAGTCATTAAAAAAGACTTGACATCTGGCAGGCTGTGGTGCTCCATTACAAAAAGCCCTGGGGTGAGGACAAGGAGGTGACAGATAAGGCGGAGTACGGGGAGACCCCACGCTGCACACCTCAGCACAGAGGGACGCCTCATGGGAAGAGGGACTTGTTCTGCTACCTGTGTTTTCAGAACAGATCTGTATTTGTACGTTGGTTTCTTCCTCTATCATATCAGGACTAATGTTCTCACCTCGGAACTTGGCCTGTGTCTTGAACTCGATAACCAGCCGGCCATCCTCGCGGATGTAGATCCTGATTATCTGCAGCCGGGCTGAGAGAACGCTGTCCGTCTGAATCCCTGCACAGTGCAGCAAGAACAAAGTCACTGGGGAGGCCACACAGCACAGTCGGTCCTCAGGTGGGCTCTGTCAGCCCCTCGTAGCTCCAGAAGCATTTGAGAGACCTCCAAAAAGGCACGGTTTAACTGGGATCATCCTCCAGTGAGTCGGCTATACACTTCCTCCGTTATTCACATGTGCCGCCTAAGTCTCACTCAAGCATAAAGGAAGTAAATATACTGAGTTCCCCCCTATGATTAGCCTGTGAATGTAACTTATTTTACATAGTAAGTTGTAGATGATTGTTTCTGGGTACTCCTGGCCTTAATTCTGAGTGGCCCTCCATGAACAAAGCTCTGCGAGTCCCTCCTCTACAATACTTTGTGTCACCGCTGGCAGAATAAAATCCAAGGTGAAGGCACTGTCTGCTCCTCGTAGCCCTTTGAGCAGCAATACTGCTCAAGGCTGCAGGCAGGGGTTCACAGCACACACAGGCTCCAAATAGTGTGGGAAAGGAAAATGAACAAGCTGGAAATAGAAGACTTGCCCGCACAGGATAAACCACACATACGTGCACGGATGCTAGGTCTTGGATGTAACCACCAGCAGAGGATAGGAACGACGTAGGGCTCGCCGCTGGGAGTACTGCTGTTTTAACAAACAAGGGGATATTATGGGAAAAAGTCCATCCGTGAGAGCCAGGAGGCTGAGGAACATGACTGCAGCTCCCACACGAGAAATGACTCCAAATATCCCACAGGGAGCAACCTCTGCCTGGCTGTGGAGGCTCTGATGAAGAGAGCGCTCTTTTCCTGCAGCACTTTCTAGGGCTCAGTGACAACTGTTCCCATTAGCAGAGAGAGGCTGGGGGGGAAATGACAGGCCCCTCGCTAAGCTTACACAAACGCAGGCATACTGGACTCAGCCTGCATGCCTTTTACTTCGGTGAGTGCTACCCGCGCTCAGGACTGCGGTGGCAGTGCAGAAACTAAGAAAAAGGAAAAAAACCAAAGAACAAACCAATTTTCCCGTACCCCTTCAAATGCCTCGGACCTACCCGTCCTCCAGAGAACAGTATCGTAGAAAAAGGAGAACTCCATCTCTGTGTGATGCTCAAGAGAAGCCCAACCTCTCGGCGCCGTCACGTAAATATAGGACACGTAGAGTGGGACGTGGACTGTTAAGAAGGACTGAGCAGAGTCCCGCACCTGCCAATAAAACCCCAAAAAGGTGGTTATGCGCCTTCCAAAGGAGAGACACTGGCCCAGACTCGCAGCACCCACTGCATTCGCGTTCTGCTCTGCAAATGGGGGAAAAAAGCCCGAGTACCTGCAACACAAGACTCCTTTTTAGTTCTGGACTATGGATGTCCTAAACACAGGGAGGATAATGTGGGGACGAAGCATTTCTAAAGCAATATAACGTCGTTGCTCCATGAAGACTGAGCGTTATTGGCAAACAGTTAACTGATTTGCAAAAAAGTTATTGCTGGACCGCCATTTGAAAAATAATAATGAACTGCTGGGAAAAAGTATGCAAGCACAGACTGCTCCTCACATACCACAAAACTCCTACAATTAAGTCAGAGATGACTGTCTGAACTTTCTTTACGTTCACGTGTAGATCGTTGCTCCATGAAGACTGAGCATTATTGGCAATCAGTTAGCTGATTTGCAAAAAAGTTATTGCTGGACCGCCATTTGAAAAATAATAATGAACTGCTGGGAAAAAGTATGCAAGCACAGACTGCTCCTCACATACCACAAAACTCCTACAATTAAGTCAGAGATGACTGTCTGAACTTTCTTTACGTTCACGTGTAGATACTTTAGACAAACCTGCATTTTAAATAAGGGTAAGTGCTAAAGCACACTGGTGTCGTGGTACAAAAGGAGCTGTGGTCACAACTTCACCTCAAAAGCCCCTCAGTTTCCAATTCCGTGAATTAAAAATAAGCAATTCTGCTTGCTCAGGACTGGCCCTAAGAGTATCTGAAATAACCACAGGTCTCCGGCTAGATATACACCATTTATTATCTGCGGAGCGCAGCTGTACTCTGCAAGCCCCTGAGAGAGCTCAGAGAGACATTCCAGACTGGTTGGTGCCAGTCTCCACGTACTAAATTATGCAGTTGTTCAGCTCAAGTAGCTTCTCTGGATTTGTGCAAATAATTGGAGCTATAGAAGGAAAGTTAACAAAGTATTCCAGGCTGGCAGGAATTAAAAGAGATTACGTTGGCTGTAACATTCTGACTGGAATTTAATACAAGAATCTAACGTAGATGAGATACTCACTTGAGTGAGATGTACATCCATAATCCATCCATGAGAGGGCAGTGAGACACGTCTAGTAGAGAAAGCTGCTATTTTATAGAAGAATGTTTCTGGCTTTTGGTCTGCCAGTCGGTTAATTAAGAAATTACTTAAAAATTCCCATGACCTCGCTCCACTGAGGAGTACGAACTGATGTGCCTCTGCTCTGTTCTTTGCTCATTTATATTGCCTAAGAATACAGTCAAAATTGTAAAAGAATACAGCACAGGTGGGAATGTTTTGTATTTCCAGTACAGTTCTTTGCCTATTTATATTTATTTGCAATTTATATTGCCTAAGAATACAGTCAAAATTGTAAAAGAATACAGCACAGGTGGGAACGTTTTGTATTTCCAGTACATCCTTATAGTTAAAAAAAATATTTCACTGGCGCTCTGAAGATTAAGAGAATAAAACCTATGTTACCCCAACCAAAATCATAGAATCATAGAATCCTAGAATGGTTTGGGTTGGAAGGGACCTCTAAAGGTCATCTAGTCCAACCCCCCTGCCGTGGGCAGGGACACCTTCAACTAGATCAGGTTGCTCAGAGCCCCCTCCAACCTGACCTGGAATGTTTCCAGGGATGGGGCACCCACCACCTCTCTGGGCAACCTGGGCCAGTGCTTCACCACCCTCAGCATAAAACATTTCTTCCTTAGATCTAGTCTGAATCTACCCCCCTTTAGTTTAAAGCCATTCCCCCTTGGCCTGTCGCAACAGGCCCTGCTAAAATAAACTAATTAAATGCGTTTCACAAAGCACCGTTCTTTTCTAGGTAAAAGGAGGGGGAAAAACCCATGCTCCAGTTGTACAGAGCAGAGCAGCAAACATACCTAGCAAATATTCATGAACACAAAGTGGAGCTTTGCCTAAGAATTGAGAAAGATCTGGATTACGTGGAAGAGTTTTGGGTATGGCAACTCACCTGGAAGTCAGCGGTGACAGAGCCTCCGCAGACATCAATTAATTCAGTCATGTCGTAATAAGCATCAAAAGTCCAAATGCAGCTCTTCAGGTTGAGGTGCTTATAGAGCTGGATCGTCTTCGGCTCTCTCACTGTGGGGTCAAACTGGTAAGGGCGGTCATAGCCAGGACCGAGAATGATGCTGTCGTAGGTCACTTCATCCAGAAACCCTGCCTCTGGGATTAAGAGACATCAGGACACGGATGACTCCAGATTTTAAAGGGCTTGAAGACAAGTATTGAGGTCCCGTTTTCACTCTCAAATCGTGTCAGTGACTTTTATTATATTAGGGACTTAAGGGGCTCCTCTCCCTTCATTATCCTAGAGGTCAAACTGAATATACACAGGTCTTCACAGGGGAAAATGTTATAGGAATGGGGTAAGAATCCTAAAAACCGAACTTATAAACCTACTAATGAAAGGTGAAAGTTAAACTTTAGAAAGTTAAAACTTTAAGAAATGCAGGACAGCTTGAGTATGAAATGAACAGGATGAAGTACAACAACCCCCTGCCCACCATGGAACGAGCGTGGACCCCATCACCCTCGGTGTTACAGACACAAACTGCCTTTTTTCTTCGGCTCTGGCATTTACTTCAGCAGTGAATTTGCTTTTACTGCTTCTTGTTGCCACACTAGAGACCTCAGTGACGCAGACGCAGTGATCCACTTCCTGTGGATCCCTCTCTAACCGCATGGGTATCACAAGACAGATTTGAAAGGCAGAAAATCACCAGCAGAAAATCACTACAGCCTCCTCAAAGAGAGCAATGCTGCTTAACCCCGTTACCTTTTAAACATTCCCATACACCGCATCTCATCTTCAAGGGGGCAACTCTGTCCACTGCTGTTAGTACAGGAAGATTCATTATTACTTACATAATGTCAAGAGAGTCCAGAGGAAGACAAAGCCTTCTTCTCTGCATTTCTTTACTGGCTTCTCCCTACCCCCAAGTTCAGAAAGCAAAAGTTGGCTTTAAAAATTACCTGAGATGCCTCTGAGGTCTCTAACGGTGACCAGGTTTGAGCAGACATGCTGGTGCCTGTAGATAGACTCGGAGAGAAGGAAATGCAGGTTGTGCAGCGGCAGGGTGGAGATGAGGGGCAGCATACCATCCTGATGCGGGATCTGCACCGAGATGTGGATTCTGGAACAAATAGTGGATGAGCCAGCAGAATAAAGCAGCCCTGGCAGGCACAGGAGCCTCACGCATTACCCCACGCCCCACAGCAGCACAGCACAGACAAGGTGAGCCCGCTAGCGGCAGCCTGATATTTAGTTTCAGCTAGATTTCCCCATCTACACATCTGCTCCTTAAGCTGTCCCACCAACTCCAATTCCCTGAGGGGGAAGGGCACCCCCTCAGCAGAGCAGGATGCGAGGAAGAGAGTGGGAGCGCTACACTGAGCACCCTATGCTGTTCAAGAGGGCACACTGCATGGAGGGATGTGGTTTCAGGCACACGTTCCCAAGCCAGCTCTGTAACTCTGGGGGGCCCGGTGAAGGACTGCGCTCTCCCCTTCTCCAGGCTCATACCTGTTGGGATGCTCCTTGTGCTTGACATCCAGGTACTTCAGAGTGGCAATGAATGACTGTGCCTGGAAACCTCGGGCCGTCCCTGCGACCACAGGAGTGTGACAAATGGCACTGTCTGTGCCTATGGTAACCATGTTGCTCCTCAGGGGGGTCCCCACATGGCCAGCCTTGTCCACAGCCTTGGCCACACAGCGCACGTGGAACCGTCGGCTGAAGTAAATGCTGTCCAGCACCTGCAGGGAACGAGGAGGGAGAAACATGCATGTGGGTCAAACGCGCCAGCGTTGCAACATCTGACCGTGTAGCAAAATCACTTTGTCCTGGTGTTTTGAGGCAGCGCGGAGGTGAGGCACATGAAATGCAAACTAGGAACATGCGCGTGCCATGTTCTGCTTGGCCGCTTGGGCATGCAGGAGTGACTGGCCTCTCGTTACTGACGCTGCAGCAGATGCTCGAGTATGTGGGGTGCTTTATGGTTTCCTAACTCTGCCCACATACTTAAGGGAGGGGAAGAGGGAGCCTGAGCTGTTATGATCTGCCAGGCTCCATCTGTCTCCTGCCATCAGGGATTTACTGAAGAGTCTGAGTGCTCACAGCTACTTCCCACATCAACAAAAGTGGTGCTTTTAGCAGGCTCAGCGAAGAGCAGTGCTAAATTTTCTGAAGCCAAAAGAAAAAAAAATAATCCCCAAAGAAGCACCCATATGTCTTATGCCAGTTCCCAAATCCAAGGAGATTTTAGGTTTTAATCTCTGTGTAACTGAAGTGTGTGCTACCCACTAAAAATGGCTCAGACTCATGCACGAGTAGGCATGGTCTAGAAACACACCCGGATGCCTGAGAGGAGCTGAGACATCACAGTTGGGAGCGCCTGGGAAAAACCCTCAGACGAAAACAGTAATTCTGTTTGTGGGGCAGGACGTGAACAGTCCAGGGACAGAGAGATCTCAGGCCGCACAAGGAGCAATGCAGCAAAACGAGCCCCTGAAGGAACAGCGGTTCTTAACTTGAGCTATGCTCTTCCTGCAACTTGAGCAGGACGGAAGGAAAGCAGACAATCCCACAGCCAAACCCTGGTAACACAGGTCACATCAGCGTGCTGAGCTCTTATTCAGGCACAGCCACTTTTTCGAGTGCGTGACTTTTCAGCTGCAGGAACGCGACCAAATTTCACATGTGAGTGATCGCACAGTACACAGGCTGACGGAGCTGCCCCAAGCCCTCGCTGACTTACGCCATGCAGCTTACTCTTGCTGTGTTACAACTTCGCCATGCCAGTACCCAGCCACCTACCTTATGGTTGACGCTAGTGAACGGTGTGTTGTCAGTGATGGTTTCAAAAGGCGACCTGGCTCCATTCCCATCCGTGGGGGTTGCTACTTCCCAGCTGAACTGTATCGAAGACTGGTTGATGCCAGCCTCGCTGCAGCGTTCCTTCATGACCGCGTACTTGGGGAAGTGAGGGTCACAAGGAGTGACACAGATGAGCGGATAGCCTGGGGAAGGGGATTTCTTAGCACCGTCCTTGGTCACTTCTTCCACACGGTCATAATCAGCCAGGGTGACGACCTGTATGGATGCAAGACGGCAGCATTCGCCTGGGGCTGAGGGGAGGGGCACAAAAGGCAATCCTTCCCACACACTCCAAGCCTGCTACATCATTGCAGCTCTTCATTTTATTCCAGAAACTCCACTGGGGTTTTCAGTCTGTACTTGAAGGGTACTAAATCATATCCATTGCAATGGGCAGCTTACCACGGGAGGTGCTGGTAGAATCAGGCTCCCTGCTGCCTCCTGATCCAAAATAGTCACTATTGCAGTGCTGATATCTCCAAGAACAGATTCCACCGGATCATCTGGACCCAGCACCAGAGAAAAGGACTCGTGCCACTCCCGGTCTTCATTGGACATGATCTCCACCTTAAATATGATGTGGTTCACACCTGTGAGAGGAAATGCAAGAGAAACAGAGAGAACTCGATTCATCATCAGGTATTGCTCTGAAGTTCTCATAAAAAACTGCACAGCTGGTCCAGGCTATGACCACTGAAACATTATGATAAAATACGCATTATAAACTTTATTTCCACTCATTGCTACTAATAATTCAGCCCCGTCCGCACAGGAGTCTACTCTATACATAAAATTCCAGCTATGACAACTGATCCAATTGATCAGGTGTTAGATTTACTAGCAGATGCCATCTGAGGATTAATAATGCCTGTCTTGTATTAGCTGTCTGTAGTAAAAATCTATGATCCAAAGTACATCCCCACCCCTGCTGTGAACACCTCTGCTCTCTCACACCAGTATGCAGAACTGTTTGGTGAGGGCTTCTTGGTCCAGCAACATGTTCTGAGCTGTTGCACGGATCCTGGACTATCTCTGCTGAGCCTTACATCCTCTGAAGACCACTTTACTCTCGCCTGCCAGATGCTAGTGCTTCTTCCTCTGTTCTGATCACCCGTCGTTCAACAGTTCAGCCTTTTTGCATAACAAATACAGCCATAGCAGAGTGGAAGGCTGAAGCCCAGAAGAGTCATACTTTAGAAAAGACCTCATAGTAAGTGGTCTATGTAGTATATTTAAAATACATTACCAAAAAACCGAAACAAACCAAAAAAACCCCCCAAACAAACCAAACCCCAGATCCTTCTCATCCAGCGGGGCACTGTGAAGGGATGAAATGTTGTACACAAGAGAAAACATGGCAAGACTTGGGATGGCCTTCCCATTTCTTCAAGTGACATTAATTCCAGTCTCAACCATCTTTCTGTCTCCTTAGGCATTTACAGTTTGCTCAGTAAAGAGCTCACCACCTCCGGGCTTTCATTCCCTCCTCCTTTACATTGCCCCCCTGCTTGGGCAGCAGCAGCTTGGCACTTTGCTTATCGATCGGAGAGGGCTGGTGCTCACACCACCAGTGTGTTTGAACTGAGAATGATTAGGCAGCCAGAAGGGGAGAGGGGAAAGGATATGTCTAATGCCAGGAAAGGGGAAAAGTCTTGCACCCCACCTGTAACACACTGAAGCGCTGGTGTTTCTTCCCACAAAGACTGTGATGAGCCCAAGATCAAACCCCAAATCAAATCTAAACCCCAAAATCTAAGGGTGTATTATGCCTTCTTACAGCTTATGCAGTTCACTTCACCGGGAGCAGTTAGACCTGTGTTGTGTTGTAAACCTCATGTAAAAAGTGGCTTTTTCCAAGTCTCCTGAATATTTCCCTTCAACGCTCCTTTCTGATATACACAAAATGTCACTGGTCATGCCACCACCTCTAACCTTCCCTCCAAGGACCCTTTACCTGGGCTGAATTTGAGCATTCGACTCTTGGGATAGTAATCCACTCCGGCCTGAGCTGAGCCATCGCGGGTGCTACAGCGGACTTTTGAGGTCCTGTTCTGATCCCCTCTCCGGACGACCTTGACATTTATAACAGCGACACCCTCCGGGCCAGGCGGCTCCCTTACTTGGTACGCAGCTTCTTCAAACTCAATGGTGGGTGCTAAAGAAACAGCAGTGAAGAAAAAGCCCCAGGTTTGCACACCAGCTGACTGTTTACAGATGAAGGGCACTCAGCAACTGGGGTGAGCTAAGCTCAGCTCCTTTTAGACTCTACCTACACATCTTCAGAGCACGTGGTTCCTCAAAGCAGGGGCCAAAAGTGCAGCTGTAAGGGTTGGATGCGAATTAGGGCAAGGGGTGGGGCAAAATCCAACACACCTATTGGGCTACAGAGGATGGCAAATGATTCTCCCATTCCCTGCCTCCCACTGAACCACACGCCCTCAAATCCATGCCACGTGATGGTGCTACAGCCCCCACTGGCAGTCACACCAGAGGGACCTGGCATCCCCCTTCTTCCCCACAGATCTCTCCAGGCTGTGACACTGCAGAGGGACGGCAACATCTCCCAGGGGAAGCACAGCAACTCCCTGCGCAGCTGCAGGGGAATGGGAAACGGGACACATGGTGGGTTCAAGCCACTGTTGTTCAGTCCCTCCCTTAGGACCATTCCAGTGCACAAAGCCACCGCATCAGTGAGCTGCACACAGAGCTGTGACCATGTGACTGAAGGCATCCACGTGCACTAAATTAAACCGCAAACTGTTGATGAGACTGTGCTGACTACCTTGGAACTGCATCCTACAACAACTCCTACATCCTTCTTGAGTCTCATCGCTTACCATCTTCGTCATTGGTGACAGTTATGGTCGCCATGTCCATCTTTCCAATCCTAGCTCCACTCCAATGGTTTCCAAGTGGGCTACCAAGATAGACCTGAAACTGCTCTTCTGGTTCAAAGGCAGAGTCATCACTGATATAAACGCTGCAGTTCTTCACCTAAAGCCAAGTAAGCAGGAGAAAACAGCAAACATCCATAAATCCTCTGAAGCCACTTAAAGGCCACACTGTACTTCACTATCTAGGGTTTAACGTCCGAGTACTGTCAATCCTGGAAGAAACACTTCTATTTTTAAGGCTGCTACTTCAGTGTGGACAAACCACACAGTTACATGATGAGACACAGCGGTGAAGACATCTACTTCCACAAACCGACAGCTCTCTGCTACAACAATCCTAAGTCCTACTGACACGGAGGATTTGCATTTCATGTTTTAAAGAGTTTTATCATGAAACAAACAACCCCTTCAGAGTCATGTCATATTTCCAGGACCAGAAGAATTTGTGACTTCAAGCGTCTATGAAACCAGTTTGGACAGCCTCTGTCAGCTCCCTCTGACAATGCAGAGTCGAGGAGGAGATCTGAACCTCTCCCATCAATGGTTCTTCATTCTCCCTATAAGCCAGGTTCAGCTCACCTTCTCCCCTTTCAAGAAAGTGATGCGAGACTCCTCTGCATTCCTCCTCTCTGCAAAGTCCTCCGTGACCTCTGCTGTCTGGCTCCGTGTGTAGCACCTGACAGAGGACTCATAGCTCAGGTCCCCGGTGCGGAAGATGGGGATGTGCAGAGTACCCTCCTTCTCCTTCACTGTGTATGCATCCTTGGTGAACTGCATGCTTGGTACTGTAGGAGGCAATAAAAAGAGTCAAGTGTTCAAGCTCCGCAGAGAGACAGGAGCTAATCGAGGCACATACACCCTAGGAGAACTGCTGCATGGAGTCTGACAGCCAGAGAATAAGACGGCAGCTTCACTGTGCCTCAAAACAGGATTTGGTTTCAAACAAACAAGTGACCGTTACTGCCTCTATAGAGCATGGGATCAGCAGACCCTGCAGTGCTTCGAAGAGAAGGTATCTCTCCTCATCACCTCTCAGTCACCTACTCCAACAGTTGATGAAACTTGTTCCTTCCCTAACATTTTGGCGCTGTTGCAATGCGCTGGAGAACAAGACAGGGCTGGTGGTAGAGGGGTGGTGTGTTTGCAAGGCATGTCAGGAAGGGGCTATACGAGGACTCAGTACTGAAATGGATGCTATGTCTCAAAGCATTACCCTACTGTGTGTGGACACAGAACAAATAGCTTGCAGCAAAGAGGGCAGACCTCGACAAAAAATACAAAGGCAGAAATTATTACAGACTACTACAAAGTTAGATTATAGAGTGTGTGCTTTCCTTAGGCAAGTAAACACGAGAGACGTTAAAACACAAGAGAAAGTAAACATGCAGTGAGACTTTCTCACGCAGTAAGGGGGACTTTGGCCCACAGAAAGCATGAAACAAGGACTGAGCTCTGAGCAGAGGAGTCAAAGCATGGCTGAAAGTGAGGGAACACTACAGGAAAATTCTTTCCGCACTCCCAAAGACTCCAACCTCTTGTGGACAGCAAAGCACGGAAAGAAATGAGGCAGCCAAATGGAATGGGAGGATCCCAGGAAAACAGGCTAAATCCAGCCTAGAAATAACCTAACTCAGACTAGCCTCCTGCTGCGTGGCAGTGTGAAGGAAGAGGCTAGGATGGACCAGATAGAGCTGCCGTGGATAACTTACCGTCTTGGAAGATGTCATTAATGGCCACGATCGCTTGGAATGGCTTTGTCAGCTCAGCTCCATGGGGTGAGCTGAGGTAAACAACAAATGTCTCCAGCCCTTCTATCACCGGGTACTGCGCATCGTCCAGGATTGTCAGAGTGCAGAACTAGAAGGAAAGAAGAAGTCCTGCTTTTAGAGACGCAAAGCTGTCATCCTTCCTGGCACTCACATTTGGGTGTCTAATGTAAAGTCATTATGTCAGGCCTTTTCTGAATTCATTAATCAACGGAAACAATGTTCGAGACAAATCCGGCATATCATTTCAGAGAATAGGCAGCTATCTTTATCCTGGGAGAGGTGGCCTGACCGAATCTTCTCTGGCTGTAGTGCTGATCAGATGTGAATCTGTGCCTGGCAGATTCATTAACGATTCTCAAGTGGCCCCGAGAGGATTTTTAAAGAAGGCGAATGGCAAATAAAGAGTATGCGCATAAACAAGAGACAAGTGTCACCAGACAGAGCAGACTCATCAGGAGTCAAAGTGGCTCCTCACCTCTTCTGTCTTGCCTGGCCTGAACTCTATTTTTCTGGAGCTGGGGACGTAATCAATTCCCGGGCTGGCAGATGGAGGGTCTGACGTCCGAGTGGCACACCACACCGAGATGGGGGTTGAGAGATCAGGTCCCTGTCGGAGGACTGGAATCTCAATGCTTCCTGCATCACCAGTTGCACATGAGAGAGAACCAAGATGAGAAAGCAGCCACATACCACAAAACCACTCCTTTCCCTTCAGCATGCCCTTCTCCCTTCTACCATAAACATACCACAAAACCACCCCTTTCCCTTCAGCATGCCCTTCTCCCTTCACCACTGCTCCTGCACTCAGCACAGGCTATTGCACAGAACAACCCCCAACCTTCCCCGCAGGGGCAGAGGGAAGAACAGAAACCCTCTGCAGATCTTTTACAATTCTGCTGCTGTGCCCTAAATCGCTCCTCTGAAAGCATGCTTTCACGGCAAGCACCCCAATGTGGTGTGGAGCAGCCCTGGGGGAGCCCCCTGCTACTCTTCACCTGCAGCCTCACTGACGGTGAAAGTAGCATTCCCCAGGAACACTGTAGAGGCATCGTTGGGTCCACTGATGAAGACGTTGGCTGAAGCCCGGCTGCCAATGCGTGCATTATCTGAGGCATCGGCCAATACGATCTCAAACTCCTCTTCTTCTTCGTATTCACTGTCATCGATCAGCATGATGTCACATGTCGTCATGGTGACACCCGGACCAAAAACAACGCGGCTGTCATCCGCCATCCCCCGGGACTTGAAGTCGGAGCCGGATTCCAGCATATAAAGGCTGCTTCCCTTGGCTGATTTGGGGACAGTGTAGCAGACGGCAGACACAGTGCTGCTGGTATCCCCTAAGATGCAACAGAAAAAAACCATAGCTCTACGGAAATACTTTTACTCTATCTGGTGGAGACACCACACACTTAAATAATAAAGCAGCATTCAGAAAAGAGGGCGAGGAGTCAAAAAGAACACCATCCCTGCTCCTAAACTTGCATAAAAGCTGGCTTAGGTCTGACTTCCAGGCATACTCCAAATCTGCACTCTTGGTTACTATGATCAGGAAACAGGTGGCACTTGCCTATTAAAGAATATACAGGTCAGTGATGGGGTCTACATAAACACAGTATCTAGAACACAGAGAAGCAGCAAATAAATACAAGGGTTTGCTCCTGTTCATGCTGGGAGGAGAAATGAATCCAAAAGCCGGGAGCTTTAACTGGATCAGCGAATCTTACAGCAGAGCTGGGAAAGAGAGAGGAAAAAAAAAAAGGCACCTGCCCTGCATTGCTGCTTGTCATTTCAGTTGCGCCACAAAGCTACTTCCAAAAAATCAAAGAATCACCCCAAAATCATAGACAAGCGAACCCCAAGGAACACCACTTGTTTTGGGGGTCACTGTTATTTGCCTGCCAACAGGAAACAGTCGTTTGCCTGAGCCTGGCAAAGGTATATACTGCAAAGACTCCTCAGCAGCTTTGCAGTAATCCTAGTCTTGTGATAAAAGACTGCAGGGTACAGGCACTAAACCGTTTCTATTATCTATAAAGTACAGAATTAAAATCCAAGCTCCAGGCAGCCACACATACTTCACAGTCTGTCCACAGGTGCTTGACTTCTCTTTGTCCCCAGTTTACTGTTGCCCACAGACCCCAAGGTTCTCCATCTCCCCTCTCTGCCGTGTGGGTTCAGACTCTGCACGTCCCACCCACAGCAGCGCCTGTGGAGCCGCGTTCCCTCCCGTGCCACAGAGCCCCAGAAAGTCATTCTGTCTGGCTCGACCCACCTTTCCTTTCAACAGGAGCAGAGAGAAAACCAGCGCTCTCGCTGACGTGGTATGTTTTCCTGTCAAACTGCAGGGTGGGCTCGTCCTCTGTGTCAGTGATGGTGACCGTGGCCCGGGTGACGTTCCCCAGCAGAGCATAAGCCGGCATGCTGAGCTCCACGGCAAAGGTCTCCATGCTCTCAAAGACGTTGTCATCGTTAATGGTGATGGTGCAGGCCTTGGTGTCCTCCCGCTCCTCAAACTGCACCTGGAAGGCAGCAAGCGGGCTGCTCTCTTTGGACTGGGGTCTGAAACTTTCTGTCCTTCCTGCCTTACCCTTGCCTGAGTCACATACCCGCTGCACGGGCGGCATCAGACACTGACCTTAACCAAGGATAAATGGCTAGTGGAGGTCAAAGGCAGCAGCAAATGCAGCGCGTAGGCCCCTACCCCTTCCGATCTCAGTCATGGTTTTAGCCCTTTGCATGATCAGGAGTGACATTCCTACTCAGGCAAGCCTGTAACATTTGTGGTCAGTCAGAACACTGCTGCAAAGTGTATCTGCCAACATAAAAAACTGAAGAAAAAAGAGACCCTCTTCTGAAAGCAAATAAAACACAAATTTTTATAGAGGAAATAGTCTCCTTTGTGTTTTTATCAGTTCTTTCATCCAGGCTTGATGGCACGCACGGTCAGACCTTCCCTTTCCTGGTGTCCCCAACCTACCTGCCCCGCGTACTCCACGTAGTCCTGCTCTCCCGGCTGTGAACCAGAGCTGGAGGTGGCCGTTCCCTGCTCTGTGCGGCACAAGACAATCGCGTACTGGTTGAGGTTACCAATCCGCCTCACGGTGATGCTCACAGAGCCTGCGCTCTCTCTGACATTGTAGCTGGAAACGTATCAAGCAGATACAAATAACAGGCTGGGGGGCAAACCCTGTGTGTTTACACTGATACTGAGCACCACAGACTCAGGCTGACTGTTGCCTCCACGGAATATCCGAGCAACACTAATAATCAGGGACTTGGGCAGATGGCAGCTATTCAGCAACCCTGCTCCATGGTTTAACCCAGCGGGCACTTCTCCTCACTGACACGCACATGAGTTCCCACTTCTGTATCGGCTGCTGTTGGCCCCCCCGCCCCCAAAATAACAGCGTTCATTCAACAGGAATGCCAGGTGTGGTGCTACAGTGCAGAGCAGCGAGACCTCAGTCCTGACGGGGTGCCAGTGAAACCCAGGCAGGAATGATGGTAACTGCCCCACTATTTCATTTCCATGCTGTAGGTCCAATCACGTATTACAGAGCTCAACCTGTCTCACTCCAGGTAAGACCCCATCTGTCAGAAGAGTGCTGTAAACCCCGTGCCATTTACCTGGTGTAAGTAAAGCTGAGGAGTGACCACTGGACATGGAAGACGTTGCCACTGACCACATTGGGTTTGCTGTCCTTCACTAGGAACTGAAAGCTGTCCATGGTCTCCTGAACCTTCTCCTCATGCATCACGTACCGAATGAGGCCCTGGTTCACGTCCTCTGCCAGGAGGAGACATCCGATGAGCCAACCCAGAAATTCAATGGCAGTTTCATAGACGAGCAGTGCAGAGACATGAATCCGCATGGCCGCAGGGATCGGGTTCTCCACACGCCCTTTATACTGCAGCAGCTTTTCTAACTTCCCTGGTCTTACCTGTGGTAGAAGCCAGCCTACAAGCTGTGATAAGACATTGCCTTGCCTAGTCTTTATCCATAATGGCTCATACTTAAAAATAAGGTAAATTTAAAGTAGCTTTGATGAAATGCAAGAAATATGAATTTGCCTGGGCAGCACATATTTCACCTCTGTTCTATAAACTGGCATGTCCTAACAGGGCTCCTTCTCACTGCCGAGATGGTTTGGGCTCTCTGACCTGTGGTATAATACATGTTTCCCAAGCTTCAGCCCTAAAATAACGTAGGTCTCTTCCTTTTTTTTTTTTTCCCCCTGAGCACAGGGGAGGCCAGGCATGGCTGGCAGGGCCTGATGAGAAGGGACAGGTAGAACTGCTGACTGCATTTGTACAGGACCTAATGCAGTGTGGTGCTAGGCTCTGCGAACTGCAGTAGCAGAAATGCTAAAAAAGGCTGCGCTGCGAGTTCACTCCCAGCCTGCCTGGGGGAGTCTGGAGGGAGCAGCAATCAGAAAGAGCACAGTGGCGTAGGAAGCAGTTACTCCCTCACCTCCCCTTCCTAATGGAGGGCCCCTCAGTCCTGCAGCAGTGAACTTTCCACACGTTATTGACTCTGCACTGCTGGCTAAACATCTACAGACCTTGTGATGATTAGATCCACATGCAATATCTACAACTCCTTTACTGTCCCAAGTCAAATCTCCAGCTCTAACAAGTCTGGAGAACCTGGGTGTGCTACAGGACACAGGTTGGCATCTGTAAGAAATTATAGGATTTCTGCAGTTCAAAGCAAAGTTCAATTCTTATTTTTCACACACTTTTGAGATTTGCCCCTTGTCTTCTCCCCTCCCACCTCTCCCCCCTCCCCGCCCCTACAATCTATCTTGACAAACTGAAGCAGCCGAAGGAAAAAGCAACAGCATACAGCCCAACTTCCATACCCTGCGTAAAGGTGGTCACAGTTGTCCCTGGTTTCAGCTTGTTCTCCACATAACCATTTCTGGGACCAGTTGTTATCTCATAGACCAGCTGTTTGTCATCTGTATCAGGATCTGTCGTCAGTAATTCCTTCTTAGTGATTAGATTGGTTGCCTGGATTAAAGCCAAACCAAGGGAGTAAAACTCTGGAGATCCAGCAGTACAAGTCTGATTGACCGTTCATCCAAAAAGCCCAACCACCCCTCTGCCAAACGGTGCTCCGTGAGGGAAAAGCTAGGGGATGTAAAAGCACAGAGCGGCCTTGAACAGACGGATGCCCCACAAGGTGTTTGACAGCACAGGAAGGATTCAAATTCTGCCTCACATCTGGTTTGTTTAATAAAAAAACCATTGTGGCGCAAAGAAAAGCAAATTCAGAACAAGCTGCCCAGCCCTATCTAGCCGAGGCTAAAAGCTATGACAAATCTTTTGGTTTCACCTGGAGACCACTGCTCCATGAACTGTGCTGATGCTCAGGTGAGGCCTGCTTTGCCCAAAACATTTGCAAACAGCCTCAAGTTGAACGATTCACTCAGGACAGTTCACGCTGCTTTAGTGAGCCTGCATTAGTCCTCTTTCAAACGACCTCACACGGATGTGCCTCAGTTCCACCACATTCTGCTTTCCCTTTAAAAAGAAAACACCTTTAACAGCAGGAGAAAAAGAGAGAATTCAACTGCCTGAGGCTGCAGGAGTCCTTTTTCTGAAGTCAGGAATTTGAGCCGAGATAGCCACTTCTTAATACAATTTCTTACTACAGTGTCTTCCAACTCTTTTTCCTGGGAAGAACCGAAGTATTTCCAGTTAACCGAAGTATTTGCAGTTAACCGAAGTATTTGCAGTTAATGCTGGGTCCTCAAAAAACAAGCACGAGAGAGAGTTTCCTGGGGTTTTTTTTGTTTAGACTTCAGCAAAACAAAGGCATGTCACAGCAAGAAATCCCTATACCACACTTCTTTGAAAGCCATATATCTCTACCATGGCTGCTGCGGCACATAATCAAGACTTCTCTGCCATCAGCAAAGCTGAAAACATACCGCCCTGGGGAGGAGGGACAAGGGGCAGGACGTGTCTGCCCAGGAAGGCGGGCAGGAGCTGTACTGCACTGCACAGCTCATGCAAGAGCCAAGAAGAGCCAGGCTTGGTGGTCCTGCTGATGTAAGGGAAGGAGGTGGTCCAGGAAGCAATTTTGTGCCCTGGTGCCACGCTGCCTGGTTTAGCTAATGGAGCTGCAGTGCAGGCATCCCTGCACACCTCTGCCTTTTCCAAGACACTTCGTGGGCACAGAGGGACACTTGTTCTCTATCACAAAAATAAAAATGCTGAAGGATCAGGAGGTTCTTCTGTGAAGCTCCTTCTCCTGGAACAGCCTGAGAAACAATCTAAACTGAACTCAGGCAGGCAGTTACCTTGCCATCCATGTACTCCAGCCACTGTAAACCCAGGTTGGTGACGACCCTGGGTGTCCCATCATCCACAGAGAGAATGTCCACTTTGAAGCGCTGCGGTGCTGCTGTCACAACCTGACAAAAGTTCAGAGAGATGGCTGTTACTTTGGGAGTCAGAGCCTCATCCACCATATTACCAACTTTGCTCCCTTCAGCTCTGTTGGGATCAAGGTCCTGCAGTGAGTTTGCACACACAAAGGCTGGTACACCAGGGAAGAAACATATGGCATCACGTAACTGAAAATACTCAGCCCTTAGCTGCTGTTGCTCCACTGAAGATAAGTCTCCCCTTCTCTGAGAGGAAGCAGCTTTCTATTAGCTATAGAAGGTCTCCCTCACATCCCTTCTCCTCCCCTTACCTTCTTCCCCCCATCCTCCATAATGAAGAAGGGATTGGTCCCATCAGACACAGTGAAAGTGAAGCGATCCTTCAGCGAGTTGCTACCATCATGACTGTAGCTGATGCGGTTCTGGTAGATGTCGTCCATCGTGAAGGTGGTGGCTTGGTGGTAACGCTGTCCATTGCTGGTGCATTCAATCAGGCCATGCCGAGGGGGCTGCATGACTGTGAACGTAATTGACTCAGCCTGTACCAAGGAGACAAGAGCGGCAAAGCTGATGACGTGACCCCAGGACCAGGACAGGCAGGTCCTTCCAGCTCGAGATACCTGGAGAGGGACTCTACGCCCAGACAGCTTTCCTAGCACAGTGTTTCCAACCAGGGGCTGAAACGCAGCGCTGCATGCTGAATTGATTCACCCTGAGCCCTGCCCTGTCTTTATCCCTCTCCCAAGGTGGCTATCTACAAAAGAACGCCAATCAGGGAGAGCTAGGCTAGACACATCACACCAAACTACTGGTTCGGCTGGTCCGGAAGAACCCCAATCAGGGAGAGCCAGGTCACACCAAACTACTGGTTCGGCTGGTCCGAGACAGCTCCTGCCTTCGTGACGACCCCTCGAACACAAGAGCAGTCCCCCATTCTGCAGCCATTCTAAGCAACGTGCCCCTTGTCACTTCTGTCGGGGTGGAAGCAGCGATAACCTTTGGGGCAGGATCTTTGGCTCAGGGCAATAACAGGCAGCCAGGAGCTCTCTTGCTGCAGGGAAACTGCAGCACAGTGAGGTAGAGCGAACATGACACTGCTTAGCCTCCGGCCAGACCCAGGAGGAGGAAGAGGAAATGTCATTTTCATCTGTGCTAGGCATAAACTCAGTGTCACGGCTAGGCATAAGCTCAGTTCAAATCCACAATGTTCAGAGAGAAGGTGGGACAGGGCAAGGATTAGCTCTGATCACAACTGCTAGATGTTTTCCATGCAGGTTTGTCGCTTATGTGTCTGAGAGACATCCCAGATGAAGCCATTTCTCAAGCCAGGGCTTTGCTTTGCTCAAACACTCATTCATCTATTTATATACAAACTCGGCCTCCCACAAGCTGTTTGTTTGATGTTGTGATCAGGCAGGGTATGATCACAGGAAGAGATGACACTCACTATAATCTCTCTCTTTGAACACAAGCCCATTTTGCTGATAGTCCAGATGTCCAGCAGAACAGGGGAGGGAGGAGGCAAGGGGGAGTCCTGCCTTACCTCTGTGTCAGCATCTGTTGCTTTAAGCATAAACTCTGTGATGGTTTTTCTCACACCTTCCTGAACTGTCATCCCGAGGCTTTGCACTATGGGTAAGGAGTCATCCACAGGGTTTATGGTGATGTCAAACGTTTGGCTCACCTGGAACAGGAGGAAAAGCCTCTCTTGATGACTTCAGTCTACCAAGAGTGCAACTCCATTGAAACAGTAATGCTTTAAGGAGACCACAGTGATCCACTGCATTTGGGTCACTTCATTTTGGCCTTGTTTAGTGAGTAAACAAGAGCTTCTAAGCTCAGATCTTGTGAACATGACCTCTTCTATCCCTCCCCACTAATTTATTCTTCCTCTTTCTGTGATATTTATGGACACCCGCTTTTCCCTCCCTTTCTCCCTCCCTCCTTCTACTTTGTCCCTCTCCCTCTATATGTAGCTATGATTTTTCCCTTTCAGACAGTAGGACGGCGACATTTCTCAAGGGTCTAACTGTGCTTCTGAGTATGTTGCCAGTGCACTGGATCAAAGCTGAGCTCCAGGAGCAATCGGTAAGCAGATGAAAAGCAGACACTGAAATCTTGGTAAACCAGTCTCATGAGGCTACATCTCAGGCAGCTCCCCCTTCCCTTCACAAGTTCGCTCCCTTAACTGTGGTACGTAAGAGCTCTCACAGCAGGGGAAGTAAGAGCCCCCACTGTTGCCAAACAACAAGCCCATGTGTGGCTTGTTTCATTTCCTTTGCTACGTGTAACTGTCTCTCGTAAGCATGCAAGAGGAAAACTGACTCCCATCACATCCTACAGAATCAATAGCCTGCTCAGACTCAGGCAAAAAAACGTGCTGGGACTTACCTCATTCGTTCCATCAGAAACAGTAAAGGTGAACGCATCCGTATGCTTTTCAATGTCACTGGTGTGGACATACTGGATGCTGCGAGCGGCCAAGTCTGCCTGGCTGAAAGAACTAATTCTTGTCCCTAGAAAAAGAACAAGAGGGGAAAATGTGCAATAGAAAGAGCAAAGCAGGGAAAAATGTAGGGAGCTGGACATATCTAGCCATAAGCACTCAGTCTTGGCTTGTTCTGCACCAGTTCAGGCTGTACCATGAACCTCAGCTGAGCCAGTGATTTAGCTGGCACCGAGCCTCCTAAAAACTCTGCTCAACAACTTTTAAATTAAGGTAGTGGCAGCCCTTCTGCAAAAAGAAGTATAGACTTCTTCCCAGACCTACAATTTTACAGTGGCACCTCACACTGCCAGGACACCCTGTTGGGGATGGGCCTCTCAGGGCAGAGAGTGAGAGAGAAGCTGTGAGAAAACCAGTAGATGTAACACTTTGATTTTCACTCCTGTGCAGGACCGATCTAAGCAGGGCATCACTGAGTACGGGCAAAAGGTTTCCTGGCCTCACAGCAGTTTTCAAAAATGCCTTCAAAGTCTCTGCTCTCTTTCCCCCTCCTTGTACCCCTGCATTTAGAACAGACTAAGCCCCATTTTCAACACTGACTTATACTGACATCTTTACAGGTCATTAGGTGTGACACAGGCACAGAAAGGTACCCAACAAGCGTTTTAAAAAGCACTTGAGCCTTTAACTCTCACCGCTGCATTTGACAGTTTTAGTGCTCTTAACAAAAACAAAAACCCTGACAAAAAGTTTTTCACCAGTTTATCATGTTAAATGGCTACTGACAAGTATTGGCCACACTACAAATGATACCAGGATCTGATAGAAATAAATGAGCCAAAACTAGATGATTGGCCACGGTTTCCTCAGAGCTCATTAGCTTTAAAGGTTTGTGTTCTCTTTTAAACACTCCAGTACTCTTTCCTTAGGTTTAGGTCATTTAAATCATGAGGACAGCTCTTTCACAGTGTGTGACTCTGTATCTTTCTTAGTCCATCACAGACATGAAAAAGCACAGAAATCAGAATCATCACATTTTAAATAACAGGAGGAATAAAATTCTTAATCCAGCTCTTTCAAGTCTCCAAAGTACAAGATTCACCATTTAGTTTGCAATTTAGACAAAAATATTGCAAGTTTTTAATTTTCTCTCAGCAAGGGGTTTGCTTATTACAACTTTCATTCGTTATTCCTACCCTTTCAACGTGTTTGCGAGGGGACATCTTACACTGTGAGAAGATGAGGCAAACCACACACTAAAACTGAGCTGTACAGGGACTGTCTGCATCTTGAAAACACACATCAGGTATTTCCACTTTAATCTCATGTTAATGAGAAATCTAATTCTAAGAAGAAACATAATCTTAGACGAGTATAATCTAAATCAGAAGAACACATTATATGACAGCATAGATTTAGACTCATTCACTCAGAGAGGGGTAGGACACTCATACTGTCAATGGGCATGGAAGGCAACTCTGAAATTCAGATCACATTTGCAGGTCATTATTTTCTGAGTTTCACAGGACTGACCAATCCCCCCTCTCTGAACTACCAGAATTCATTATCCAGCGTATCCATCCCACCACAACGTAGCTTCCATTTAAACTATCTCAGCGGTTAGTTCCCTTCCTCTCTCCAAAGCACAGCTGGGAAAAGAGGCTGGTGTTTAGGGATCAAGGGATGTACTGGCCAAGAGGGGGACTGAAAGCAAGTTGTCTGTTCGCCAAGGTGGGCTCTATTACCGTGGCCATTAGGGGATGGATTCTTTTGGGCATTGTACTGTATGTGGCCACAGAAAAGGCTGAAGGTTTGCCTGTCACGCAGATGCAGCAATAGGTCCTGAAAGAGGAGATTCACGCAGCGGCAAGCTGGACTGACCTGCGAAGTCCACCAGGCAAGGTTAGCATGGGGCATAAACTCACCCAGAAGCTGAATAAATCCTCATCTGTGGTTATGGGGCTGCCTTGCTTCCACTCACCCTATTCTCCAACTCTCTGGGCTAATGACCGTTTATTTGATTTCTAACAGGAAACATAATTCTGTGCTGCTGCCTCCAAGCACTTTTTTCCTCCAGTGAATCTTTAGGGCTCAAAATCCCTCCAGTGCTTTGCTGCTAGGAGTACCCAACCGAGTAAAATACCGCCCTGCTAACCTGGGGAGGCTGCATGCTCCAGGTGCCCCAGCTGTGGCTGCTTGGTGAGCTTGTACTGGAGCTGGGTCGGCTCGCTGTCCTGGTCAGTGGCAGAGAGCTGGAGGGTTGTGATCGTCTTCGCCGAATTCTCATCCAAGACCAGCCCTTTGTTAGCGATGATGGAGGGGGGAAATCTGTCCTCTGAAAGGGTTAAACACAAAGCCGAGTTAGGAGACAGTCGCCCTCCTTTCCTTGGTGTTATGCAAATCGGGTACTTGTGCTCAAGCAAAAGACAACACACACACAAACACTTCCCAGAGTGGTAATTCCAAAACAGGTACTCTCTCCCAGTAATTACCAGAGTGGTAATTCCAAAACAGGTACTCTGGGCATTGGCATTGAGGGGATGGCAGCATTATAACATCTTAAAGACAATCTAGACAGTATGAAGATATTAAGGGGAATTTTTCTACCTTTTTCAGTGAGTTTGTCAGAAGCCAAAGAACTAATCCTTACATCCACAAACACTCCCTGTGCCCCAAACTTCAAAGGCCTTTGAATTAACAGCGAATAAAAACTGCATCTCAAGAATTACATCTTAACTTGCAGTACATGTGGGATGGGAATCTACGAAGGCCTCAGCTCTGCAGCAAAGAAAACATAACTTCAGCACTATCTTTTACCTAATACACTAATATAAAAAACCTGGTCCGTCAGTTTGTTGCCGTCTGCATCGATCACATCAAAGGTGAAGGCGAAATTTCCACCAGGATCCCCTTTCTTGTGACTGTACACCACTTGCCCTGGAGAGAGGGACAGGAGAAAAGAGCTGGTTTATTACAGGCTGCATCATTTAATTCTTAGTTTGGAACCAGGCTGGCACTGTGAGCCGAGGGACTTGGGGCTTGACAGAGCTCCTGGATTTGGATTTCATTACTTTTTCTTGTTAATCTTTTTCTCTTGCTGAGAGAGACTTTTTAACACTTGCTTAATGATACATGTTTCTGCTCCAGCATAACAACCTTATCTTACTTCTTCCCCCCTCCCTTCCCTGCTTCAAGTCATCCTCCCCCTCTCAAAAAGATCACAGAATCACAGAATATCTCAAGTTGGAAGGGACCCATAAGGATCAGAGTCCAACTCCCTGCTCCTGGCCGGACTACCTAAAATGGCCACGTTACTTGCCGTGATTATCTAAAATCAAGCACTCTCACCTTTATTTATATCAGCCTGGGTGAAACTTTTGACAGGTCCTTCGACAGAGATCTGGACTGGATTATCAATTTTGGTCAACTGCAGATGGCCGATGCTGGGATCCCTCTTCATGACAAATCTAATCGTTGTGTCTTCTGAATAAATAGCTTCTGCTTTCAAGTGCTGATCTGTGAGGTATGCTGCAGAGCCTGGACCAGAGAAAGAAAGTCCACAAACAGCTTCAGCCAATCCAGCTAAGCGACAGGTTTAGACTCGACCACATAGCAATACCAAGCAATACCATTCTCCTCCCTCTCCCCGTACCAACTGGGAGCTGCAGGCCCCTGTTGACAGCTAATGTGGGTGGCTGCTTCTTTGGCAGCTCCGTGAAGAACTCCAGCCTCCCCGTCTGCGTGTAGAGACCATCCGTGATGGAGAAGCCAAACTCGTCTGTTTGTGCTGCTGCACCGCTCTGAGTATAAACGATCAGCTCATCCAAAATGTCCTGGTAGGTGAAGGATGAGCCCATGGACAGCTCACGTCCATGCTCCGGGGGCTCTGCAGCAGTCTGCCTCCTGCGGAGATGACCTGACAAACAATAGATGGATGAAAATTATGGGGAGAAGACAGCCTGCTGGGGACTTTTTGCGTGCCAGCTCTCAGTGGGATGCACAGAGGTGGACATAGCCTTACTGGAAAAATTGAAGGAAGTTATCTGCTTAGTGCCAAAACTGGTACAATTTGGTGACATACATGAGATCTGAAAAAGGGTGCAGAGCCCTCACTAGTTTAACATGACACTAGCCTTCACTTGACACCCTGCCTTGCTTTATCACTGCAGAGAGATGCTAGTTGCTCAGCTCTTTGGAACTGAACCCCACAATAGGAAATGGGGTAACACAAAAGGGAACTTCCCAGGGAAATGCATGCAGTCTTCCTTTACCCTCTCCCACAAATAGCAAGGGACAACTCTCAAAGAACAGGTCTGTTCTGAAACACAATCCCTCTGTGGCTGCTGGTCCAAACACAGACTAAATACGCTTTATACAAATATGCCAGGCTCCTCTCTCACATCAGGGGCTATTACACACACACAGATATAAAGACACGCAGACACAGAGGCACAAAGACATACTCTCTCTCTCTCACCAGCCCCAGCTTGTCAGGACTTACCATGTTCAGGACTTTTGGTAACCATGATGACAAGCTCACTGTTCTGGGTGTCCAAGTCTTGCAAGTTGAGGGAGGCATTGGTAACGACCACACCAGAGCCCTCGTGCACTCTGACAGAGTCCAGCACCATCTTTGGGGGCTCATCGTTCTGCCGCTGCACAGATCCCAAAGGCACACAGTCAAAAAAGGGAAATGGCCAAGGGGAAAAGACCGCTGCCCACCCAAATGAAATACAAGCTACCAAATGACAGTACTGGTGCTGATATCCATTAATAGGCTACACCAGTCCCTCCAAATCTATCCAGCACCATGGCTGCTTCTAAGAGGGAGGAGACACCAGAGAAATAAGCCCTGGGGAAGAGGCTGCAATGCACAACTGTTCTCTGGCATCACAGGCAAATTATGTGCCTGTACTAGGGGAAGGAAACAGACAGGAGGAAGGAAGCTCCCTTTAATCCCCTTCCCACGTATTACAAAGGAGTGAGCAAAGCTTGCACTTTAGAAGTCATGTGTCTATGTGAAAGGAGAGGGCTCTGGCAGCCAGAGAGCACAGGCATACCTGAATTGTGATGTTAATGCTCTGCACCTCAGACTGGCTGAAGCCATCGCTCACGTAAAAGCTGAAAACATCACTTGTTGGCTCGATGCTTTCATGGACGCTCTGGAAGTAGTAAATGCTGTTCTCTAGAACATCTTGAAGGGAAAAGGATGCGTCTGCTGTCACAGCAGACTCACTCTGTGGGCCAAAACTCTCACCTGCAAACCAGAACACCACTAGTGAAAGGATGTTCAATTCACTGATAAACTAAAAATAAAAGCAGCAGGATTAGGAGCAGAATGGCACATTGTGAAGGGTGCAAAAGGATGTTCATTCCTACAACATGGCTTCCACACATCTTTCGACCTTTGTAGAAAGCAACATCTGCTGCATTAGAATAGGCATTAGGGAAGCTGCAGTTTTATGCGTAGTACAAGCAATCCCACATCCCAGAATTACTTAGGCTTTCTTCAGAGAGGAGACAATGGCTAATGTGCCGTCTGGCCTCAACACAATCTCTACATCAAGCTTCATCTTGCAAAACTAAGGCTCACACCCAAGAAAATCACACCAAGCAGTTGCCTGTTCAAGGAGAGAGGCTCACCATTACCAAAATGGCACAAACTGGAGTTCATTCATAGGAGGGATGATGTGTAATGGTTAGCAACCTGTGCTCTCCAGAAGAAAGGCAATCACTGTTGTAACAAGCCACTATGCTGGCCAACCCACGGTGATAGCTTGCTGGGACATTTAGAGGAATTTAGCAAAGTTTGTTCTGTGTAACAAGGACAGCCAAAATAAAGCATGATGAAAATACAACACATGGGCTTGAAAAGGTGATATATGCCCCTCCTGTTAGGACCACACACAGGATTAAGCAGACAAGTCTCCTGGATGAACGTCTTTGGACAATATGGTATAAATCCTACCTTTTCTTGATAATACAGTAAGATGAGAGAATGCTACCAGCCATGCTCTGCCACAGCTCTCACAGCCTTAAAGCTTGCTGGGACATTTAGAGGAATTTAGCAAAGTTTGTTCTGTGTAACAAGGACAGCCAAAATAAAGCATGATGAAAATACAACACATGGGCTTGAAAAGGCTCTTCACGCCCCAGTCTCACAACATAGACCAGTCTCCAACAAATGAGAATTAGGAGGAAACGCTCCTGAGAGAGTTTATCTCGTAACGCTGACCTTAAGAGCTCTTTATGATCAACTGATGCCAACCAGCACTGCACTGAGGAACTGCGGTGAGACAGATTAGAAAGTGCTCCAGCATGGCAATTCCTGCGTTCCCTTTCATCAGTCGGGAGGAAGAAGAGATAGCCAAGCCGTTTACCTGTCTTAGTGTTTTCAATGTAGCCAAACATAGGCAGAGTGATAACTGTGACCCTCAGGTCTTCCTTGGCAGCAGTATCGTAATCAGCAGCTAAGTGGTGATGAGCCAGCAGTGGGATCCTGCCCCCCTCATCCACCTGGAAAGCAAAAGCATATGACAAAACTACCGCCAATGCACACAACGCACAGCAACACACAAACTGTTACTGAACAAGTCTGCCTCTATGGAAGAGGTTTGCCCGGTCTCTGAAGTCCTGTCCCATCCTCCCCTAGATCTGTTAAGTATGACATCAGCTGGGAGGTGAGGTGGGATGGGAAGAACAAAGCCTGCCTGGCCCCCCAAGAGGAGCTTGTGAGTGCTTTATCAGGGCAAGAAGAGAACTGGCAGAGTCGTGCTGACCTCTTGGAAGGCGAGATCTGCATTTCTTGTTGAGGGGAGCCTTTAGAAGGCAAGGGAGGGGGAATGCAAAGCTGGAAAGGAGGGAGATGACTTCAAAAGGCTTTGATAAGGAGTCTGAAATGCTGTGTATCAGTCCAAAGCACCAGATGTTTTCGGACTTGTCTTCTGCTCATCTTTTACACACAAGCTGGTGAAATAGGGGACGAAATATTAAACAGGGATGTCAGACTTGTTCCACTGATATCAACAGGACATCCTAGGGAGAACCCAGCTAGAACAGACGTAAGCAGATGAGGTTCAGGGATGCAGCCGTACTGTCAGCCTCCTCTGGCCTCCAAGTAGTTTGTTAACCCTTTGCACTCACAGGACTGCACGTGCAACACCATATTTCTTCAGTGATTTCCCCTCAGTCCAGGAAAGCTGTTCAATTCCTCCCATCTAAGACATTCTTGTCACTGTTCCTAGTATGCTGGGTAGCCACTTACAGTGATATGGTCAGCAAAAGCAATGAGCGACGGCATTGTGTGGGCAGACGTGATAGTGACGGTGAACATCTGTCTGTCAAGCCGGTTGTTATCAGCATCAAAAACAGTGAAGTGGAAGATGTCCGTAACTGGCTGATTGCTGGTCTCAAACATGGTGGAGTAGCTGTGAAAGTCAGAACACAATCTGGGTCAGGGAGTCTCACTGACAGTTGGGCAAATACATCTCATCCCTGCATTTAGAGGTGAACGCACACCTCTTGAAAGAGAGGTGGTATTTCAGTTCCCAACCCTCCTTCACGTTCATTCCCTGAGTTCATTTAAATCACCGTTTCAGGTGTTGCCTACCTAAAGTATCACCATGACATTGCGGACACAGAAAAAATTCCCGTAAGTTGAAGCTACTCCAACTACTGGCGTTTCAGACATGCATAAACACCTAATTCCGCACACAGGAAATGCTCTCCTTTATAGTCTCACAGGATACAAGAGCTAAGAAAGGAAAAAATATCTTTGATACACTGTACTAACGGAACATAACAGCACAGAGATCCCTGCGGAAAGCCCACTGAGCTTTTAACTGGCATGGCTTGAAGGAGAATAGCTCTTTGATACCTGATCCTCTGGTTGTTGATGTCTTCCATGGTGAAATTATAAACCTTGGAAAGCTCTTCATCATGAGAGCCAGACATCCGTAAGAGGGTGCCATATGCAGGCAGAGATATTAACTGGATTCTTATCTCTGAGTCAGGAGAATTGTTGTCCTAAACATGAAAAAACAAACAAAATCAAAACAAGACAAGACAAAATTAGCTTTTGTTTCCCTCCACTGAAAACGGAAGGAGGAATAAAATGTTTTATAGGGAAATATATCAAGCTAGCTGGGTCAGACCCACAGAATATTAAATGAAGCGCTGTTGATGAGAAGAGAGCCAATTGGGTTGACATTCTCAGAATCTACCACAAAATGTATTTTCATTTTCTCTCAGCTCAGAGAGGTTGTCTTTGTGTCCTTGTATCGTATCAGTACAATCTCCCAGACATAAACGTGATGTTTTTGTTTCTTGAATTACTTTACACTTCTACTGGACTGGACCATTCGTGATATGCTTTTCCTGACTCCAGATAAAGTGAGCCAAAATTTAGCTGATAGCTGGCAGAGGGAGTAACTGTTGCCCACCAGTGTTTCAGAGAGAGACACAGAGCTAAGTTCAGTTCTTAGTAAAACAAAGGTTACTGTGGAGCAATGCTGCAAAAGCCAGATTCACATTAAACTAAAAGCCGATTTTGGCGCTCTCTGACTACATTAAGTACAACCATCTCTGATATCGCAACTCAGATGTCATCTTTTCTTCTAAAAGTTTTTGTTGGTTGCCTGAAAGATAAGACCCAAAGCAGAAATCATCATATCCTCAGCATATGAGTCAGGAATGAAATCCTCTTTTCCCTAACTGTTCTCTTTACTCAGATTAAACCTGAACAGCTCCCTTGTCAGCCTTCCTCCTCTCCTTAGGAGGAGAACAGGGCAGAGCCCATACTTGTATCCAAACTGATCCCTTGGAAAAAACATTCATCTGCCTTCTTATCCTACCTCACCCCCTGCAGTTCCCTAATCATCTCTCTGACAGCCACTACCTTAGATCTCTCCAACCTCACATGTGCACTGCAATCTCTCCTTCCTCCTCCCTAAGGGGAGCGTATCTGGATACCTGAAATCCACTGCTAGTGCATTTGCTGCTAAATATTCTGCAAGGAGTAAAACACCTTTCTTCTGAATTTCACCAGCAGGATAACTCTCGCACAGCACGCAACCCCTGGGACCAACTCCAAGCTACCAAGGAGTGCAGCATCTTGGGTTGCTTAAACCTCCCCCCTTCAAATATGTCCAGAAAAAGAACCAGGCAATTTTGGAAGGGGGGTGAGGGGGCTGAAATTTTCGAGGGATTATCACTTAGCAAATCCATGTGCTTTATCAGCCAGTCTGTTTGACACAAAAATCTGGGATTAACTCAGTTCTCACGTTTAGCATGGCAGTTCACCTCTGTTACAGTCAAACAGGGATAGCCTTAAAACCCTGTTGGATGAAAGAGTCTGTTATCTCCTTTTTGGCAGCAGTAGTCAGGACACAGTCAAAACTCGAGCTCTACCAAGAATCCACACTGACGGCAGAGAGGTGTGTGTGGCGAAGGGTCTGTGGGGCGGATAAGGAAAGGGAGGCTGGCAGCATTCACTGGGTTTAGAAATAGATGAAAGCTTACAATATAAGCGAGGTGCAATCGAGAGAGAGTCACAGAGCTTTTACTAGCCACGGTGATTGCCAACAAGCAGCCCGGGGCCAGCTGCGGACCGTTGTTATCCAGCAGGGACACTTCCACCCTCAGCACTGTGGTCACTGTGGTGACACCGTCGGTGACAGAGATTTCCATGCTGTCCTCTGCTGCCGATGAACCATCATGCACGTACTGCAGAGCATTTCGAGTGACGTCCTCGTAGGTGAAGGTGTCACCTTCCCAAAAAGAAAATGCGCAAGTCAGAAAGACTCTGTTCAGAGCACCAATCCGATTCAAATGACCTAAGGCCCCAATTTAGCAAAAGACTTAATCATGTACTAAACTGGCATTTAATACCATCCTTACAGGGATTTGAGTTATGAAGACATTTATTAAGGAGCTAGTATATATGCAGGGCAGAGGAAAAGCTGTAACCTTCACAGTTTCACAGACACAGCGACTCTTCGCTATTCTCCGGGAGTGCTCTGATCCTCCTTTCTTCCCAGCTGCTTTGTAAGCTCACACCTATCATAGCTAGATAAGGCTTCCCTCTCCACGTCTTCTGCTTGCACTACTCTCCTACAGATAATATTTGTTCATCTGATCACACACTGGAAACTGCTGCCGCCAAAATCAACAGTAAAACTCCACAGGAGCTGTTGACTGCTGGATCACAACAGGTTTACATAGACTTCAGTAGAAACGTTCACCACGTTACTTCACTAAATTACTTCAGATATAACTTACCATGTAAAACAAAACATCCTTTTTGATTAGCAGCTGGTTGTAGTTATCACAATAGAGCGACCGTCAACTAGCTCACACATACTTGGTACAGGAAACGCATTGATTCAGCCAGGAACTAAACAACAAATGGGAAAATGTCTTTCATGCACTCCCTCCTGCAGTCACACGCTTCCAGGTAGAAAATTCACACGCTTGTGGATGCAGCCGTATCTGCCAGAGGCATCTGCCTCCTCCCGGTCAACTAAACCAGCTAGGTGGACAGGCACACGATGACCCCTCTCCTGCGCTGAGGAAGACTTCTGCTCAACTCACCTGCTCTCATGCGCTCCTGCACGCCTGCGCTGTACTTGAGCACAATGCCATGATGGGGAGGTTTCACCAGCTCAAAGAAAAGACCCTCGGGAGCTGTATCCGTGTCGCTCACGGCCAACTGGATCCCTGTGCCGGTGAAAGAGAACACGGCTTCAGCATCCTCAGACACTACACTGGGAATATCCCTTAGGTTTTGTGATATGCTCTTGTGAATGGAGTCAAAAAACTGTAATTCAGTCAGTACGTGAAAAGTAAAATAATTCTGGAGCTGCCCTAGCCCAAGAGCTTGCTGGTTTCATGGAAATAATTAGTCCCCTGATGATGCTCAGATCAGAGGTTGTATCAGAGAACTTACTGCCAGTATGGCTCGCAAATGACAGCTATGCAAACCCTCAGCTTATGACAGAGATGTGCACGTGTTCACATAGCAGGGGGGTATCTACAAAAACCCCAGAGAACCTCCTGACACAAGCAGAAAGTGGCTTATCCTAAACAACCCAGTGTACCAGATCACACCACTAACCAATAGCAACCAATAACTCGGCAATTGCAGAGCAGCCTAAGAGGGAAAAAAGTAGAGGAGCAGCAGGTCCCTGATCCTGCTCTTCCCTACCTCAGGCAATGAACGGACCTGTCATATGCTGGAGGAATACCGCCATATCCCCAGGCACTTTTCTGAGGCACCACTGCACAGTTTTCTCAGTGGTTGCTGCTACACCTGCATAACCACAGCTCCTTAGCTAAATGGACAGAGGTGAGTGAGACCAAAACTCTTCCCTGCTCCGTCCATGTGGCCTCCTGGCAATAAACACCGTGCCTCAGGCTGAGCTCCACACCCCATCCCTTCCACCCTACTTACCGATGGTGGCTTTGCCCCCCTGGCTGACCTCCAGGAACGGAGCTGTGATCTGGAAGACTGGAGGCTGCTGCTCCGCAGAGAGCAAATGAATGACAAACACCATCTCCGGGGTTGTGTGTTCTCCATCAGACACTAGACACAGACAAAAACCACACCTGAGTGTAGGGATGTGTTTTCAGGGGCTCACCTGGGAAATTCACCTTTCTGTATGAAATCACCACCCCACATCGCTGACTTCCCTCCCACCTTGTCAATCTACACCTTTGCCTAGGGACATATGCACACAATTCACACCTGCCACTCCTGGCAAGACAAACGTAACTTCTAAAAGTCTGTGTGTGTGCATGTGTACATACTATCTTCCATATATCTATCAGGGGCACTCATAAGTCAGAACATGGACTTCCCCTTGCTGGTGGATCACTTTGCATACCTGTGCTAGAAAGCACATGGAAAGGGAAAGATGTGTTAAACAAGCAAGCAGCTTAGCAGTAGCAATTTAATTGCAGAAATGTTTCCATGCTATATTAAAAAAAAAAAACAAACAGCATAAAATTCTGGTGTCCTTGTTCACATTGGGGGAAAACAGGAACGAATCAGGCTTTTAAGACAGATTCCAGACAACTACTGGAAAAAGATGCCTCTACCGAGCTGCAGCTTAGCTTCTATAAAACACTGTTGGGACACAGATGAATTAATATTCCCCAGGCACATGCATTTCCAGAAATTCCTACTGAGTGCCCATAGGTGTGCTTGCAGCAGAAGAAAGGCCAAGGAGCAACAGGCAACGTGAAGGGCACAAGGATAAGAACTGCTTTGGCCAGGAAAGAGCAAACGGTTCACATACCTGTGAATCGGAATTTCACTGACTCTGGGAGACCTGACAGGACAAACACAAGCACAGAGTAATTGTGGTCAGGACAGGAAAGCACATACTGATGTGGATTTGAAAAACTTTTGGAGAAAGCAAGCGCTGACATTCAACCAAACTGGAGTCTTTCCTCACCAAGGAAAGCACTCCTTCCTTGCCTTCGCTTCAGGTAATGAGAGATAACATGCTACCCCCTCCTGTAAACTGTGAAACTCCTCTTGATGTCAGTGGAGGGCATGGTGATGCACAGAACTGCATCTACCATGTACTGTCACTTCATCACACAATCCTGTGCATCAACTGGTCAAACACGCTTGAAGTTTGTCCTATTTTTGCCCCTCTACCTCCTGCTCCAGATTGTTACTCCTCTGATGGTAGAAATCTTCTAATATCCCGGCTAAACTGATTCAGTTCATACTTATCAATTCTAGTCTCAATCTCAAGGACCAAACCCCCAGTGCATCAAAGATCTCAAGCACGGGAGGGGAAACTGTTCCTAAACCACACAGCAGATCAGCAGTTTGCCCAGCAGAGCATCCAGTACTAGCGTTGGCAATGCTAAATGCTGCAGTGAACACTGCCACGTCCCCATAATTCACTAAATGTTGCTATACCAAACCACAGGGGAAAATCTTGTTGAAGTCACAAGAAATGGGTAAACTCTTGGTACACTCCTCCAAGACAGATTCCTACTTCCTTTGTATCGTTCAAGCCTCACGCCTTCGTGAGTATGGACATAACCATGAAGTCATTCCAGGACTGGAGGAAGACCAGCAGTCCAGCTACCTCTACCAGTCTGACATGGCACTACAAAGAACATTCAGTTCCTTACCCGCAAAGGAGAACGCAATGATCTCTCTCAAGTGAGGAGCTGCAGTCGGAGGACGATAAGCAATCTTGCCGTGGTTTATATCTGCTTGGGTGAAATACCTGACTGGGGAGAGAGGCCTGTCTCTATGCTCCACAATACCTACGGAGGCAGAGAGCTCAGTATTAACAGGAGGAATCCATTTTATTTTTAAAACAAGATACCAAAGGCCACAGCTTCTTTTTCTCTCCCCAGGTACTTCTTTTTACATCGTCAGTGGTTCCTGAATGAGTCAGATGGCTGTAACTGCATCGAGGAGGGGTTCTTGGGACGTGAGAAATTAAACAGATTCCTCACTTAGTCATTTCTTCAAATACCTCTCACTAGAGAGGTGGAAAGCAGAAAGCCATGGGGTACAACATTCAATATATTCCAGACAATAGTAAGAAAACTGTCTGAGCTCTGCAGCTTACTCCTAAACTAGCCAAAGAAATCGGGTTAAGAAACAAGGTGTTTGAAAGCTAATGGAGGAGGCCGAAGAGATTAACAGACGCCTCCACAGAACAATACTCTGAGGGAAAAAATAGATGTGCTCAGAAAGCACAGCGATTAATTCAGCAGCAAGCTGCCATGTTCTGAACAGGTACACTTGCCTTGGCCAGGAAGGAGAGGGACAGTCACGTTGAACAGGATTTTCTCACTGGGAATCTCCGGGTCTACAAAGGAGAGGTGATGTGGCTCAATCACTGTCACACGGTCCTCCAGCACCTCAATAAACACATTAGACCATGAGCATTAAGGCCAGAGACATGGGAAAATTCACCCAAAAATGCACTGAAAGAGAATTTGCTTTGCTATAGTTAAATATAAGAGAGTCTTTGAATTTAAAGGCCTAGTTCTTAGACCTAAAACTGACAAGGGATGGATGGGCTGAACCTTTACCAAGTCTCTCAAACTTGTACAGAATAGGGACTATTTGGGAGGAGATTACAGAGGACAGTAAAGCTTGATAATGAGTAAAATTTGCTAGAGTCTTACGGGCCACCCAAACTCACTTCCAGCTCATCTGTAAACCAAACCAAATGTGTAACGCAGAAGCTGGGCACTATCATGCTCAACAGAAGAGAGCTCTATACAGGTCCACCTCTGTTAAGTCCTTTCTGGAGAATCAGAAAGGGCTTATAAACCTATGAAAAAGAGACAAACACCTCCTCCTTCATAAAACTATGAGCTTATCCCCACTTTCAGGCTGTCCAGGAAAGTGGCAGTGTTTTTAGTGCACTCTGTCCCCTGCAGATGCACAACCTCCACGCTCGCAGGTGGAGGAGTTTCTTTTTTGACCTACAGCAACTAAGAAGAGATAAAAGAAAACCTAATTTGATCAAAAACTCCCTGGATGAAGATATAATTCATTGCCTACATAGTTTTCTGGTACAGTCTGATGTGGTTGGACTGGATTTGCTTTTAAAAGAAATCCTGAAAATGACTCAGCCATTTCCATTGGAATACAGAGGAACCAAAGCTTTCCCTTTTGTTTTAAATCTGTGTAAAAATGTTCTGATCCTTCCATTACAAGATTATCATTAGCCAAAGGCGGGCAGCGTGTTACAGGAATTACGGTGCTGCATGAGCAGACTTAAGTGCACAAAAGCAGTTAACCTGCATGTGTTCACGAACCTTAATCCTGCGGAACTGACAGCTACAAGAAGTCACTGAATTAAATAGTTCAGCTGGGTATGAAAAGCATCCAGCTCATTTCATAATCATGAACAAAATATGGAGAGAACAAGCTAAATTAAGGCTACAGGCAATTAATTCATCTGCTTTGGAACATAAAACGATCAGGTTCAGAACAAATTACAGGTTTCCACCGGCCACATCAAGTGCAGCCCACTGAATCGTGCTGGTTACACATCTGTGAGGCCACGCCGTGAAACCTGTGTCCCATTCTGCTGGCCTTGGGTCACAGACTGGACACTGGCAAGGCGAGGTTTCCTGACAACAGCTGAGTACACCACAGATGCCACTGAACCCCCAGTTCATCTCTCTCCAGTGTTTTTCGCCCAAACACATCAGAGGAGAAACCACAGCCTATGAATGACTGTTGTGAAGCAGCAAATAAAACCTTGTCAGTCCTTCTTAGATGCGAAAGCGTCACATATCTAACTGGAACCAAAAGCCACGAAGTTTATTTGTGTTATCAGCACTGCTATATACAGCTCTGTATAAAAAGGGCAGGCTTAAAATTAACAGTGGTGTCCCTTTCATACCGCCACTTTTGGAAGGGAAGGACCTCTATATGCTTACAAAATTCTCTCTCCTTCACAAACCCAATCTCAGTTTGCATTCGGCTAGAGAGAAGCTCAGGCTCCTTTTACCAATATGGGGGAAACAGGTAACTTGATTGAAGAAAAAACAGTATAGATGTTATGTCCAGTTCAGCCGCCAAAGAGTCACCAAACTTTCTCTGACCTTTCTCAGTTGGACACTCAAAGACAAGACTAGAGGTATGCGAAGACTTAACATTTTGTGCTTGCTCTTCAGCTGAGAAGCCAGTCTAATTCTAAAGGAGTTTGAAGACGGATGAACAGAACTCAATCACGCTGATGCAAAGAAGTGCAATTTTATGATTAGAAGATTTAAGGTTATGGTTGCTTCATAGTTGCCTCCAAGGCCTATTTGTCTCTCCCAAAGGTAGGACTTGCAGGTTGCGAGGCGCCCCTCAGTAAAACGTATTTTATGGCACCATTGAATTTTGTGGTCTGTAATTAGCTATAAAAACCAGCACTGCACGGCTCAGCCAGACATCTCTCCCATCAATTTTGTCAATAATGACAACAACAAAAAGTCAAGAGCAGAAAGATACATCGCTGGCTATTGCTCTAAGTAGCAGTCTGAGCATGTTTTATTATTGCCCGTGAAAGGTCACCACTATTTTAAACCCTGACAAGGCCGTTGTGTCATGGACTTTTCACTAATCCCTCTCCCACCGCTTCCTTTGGCCTTTCCTGGTCACATGCCTGGCAGGCTGTGCTGGCTTAGAAGTCCTTCGCCTCCCCTTAGGAGGCTCCTCCTGGGGACCCATCGCCCCTGGGAGGTCTGCCACATCTGCTCTCCTGCACTGCACGGGCCTCTCAGTGTGCTTTTGTCTGTCAGGGAGCGCTCAAGGGCACAGGATTTCTGTTTAATAACGCTGAGCATACTGCTGGCACCTCACACGCTCTAAATAAATCATCAGGAATGAATAACGCCAAAGATGAGTGCACACTACATTCAAGTCTGTAGACCCAGCTCTCCCTCTCCCTGCAGGCAGCTCCTGCCCGAAGGGTTGGTCTCAGCTCCGTTCATGTTTCTTGCAAGTCCTCATCTCTGCTTTCTCATCACAGCCTGCCCTGCCTCACTCAGCTCAGGACAGTTGCTCAGTGGATTATGATCCTGGTCCCCCTCTGAAAGTCCCACAGACCACAACAAAGCTATGAGGCCAAGGTGATGTCTAAATCAAACTCCCTGCCTCTAGGGTCCTGGCTCTCTGTGCGTCCCAACGGGTGACCTGGGTGCAGAGCCCTGAAGCTCTCCTCTAGCTCACGCACTCGGGATCCCGCCCTACAGAATCAAAGAACAGGAGACAGCAAGAGAAGTAGAGGGGAAAGCTGGACTTCACCCACATATGTGATGGGGACGCATGGAGAAGACATGCACCAAAGTCAGAGAGCTCACAAAACCAGCTTTAAACTTCGAGGTCATCTTTTCAATTAACACAGTCAGGGAAAGAACTACATTAGAGAGACCACTCTTACCAAAATGGTCATGCCCAGAGTTGATGTTGCAAGAAAAGGTAATTCAGTTCCACGGATGCAGATATAATGGGCTTGTCTGAATGTTTTCCACATATATTATAGTCTGTGTTCCTGATGTCAGAATGATGGATGAAAACTTTCTAGTGTGGGTGGGCTGCAGTTCTGATAAATCAAGTTTACAGTGGAATTACTGGCAAGATCTATTTATTATAGTCTCTCTAACCCACAGTTTTTCACTCTTGCCATTCCTAATGGCTTCTCAGGAAAAGGTGTTTCCAAAATGCTAAGAATTCCATTAAAAAGATATTAAACGTATTTTTTTCTTTTCTCGCTCCCTCTCCCTTCCAGTCTATACAATCATCACTTGTAATATTGAGTTTTTCAACTTTTTATGTTTTTTTTTCTCCCCCCGCCCTTCACTCTTCTAACCTATCTTTTTTTTCCGTTTCTACTCCAGTTATCTATCTGGTGCATACACCCTGTTCCGCAGATTCAGTTCAATCTTTGAATCAAGCACAACAGCACGGACAATAGCAAGTACAGGAATCAACACGCAGTGGTTACTGCTCTGTGCGAGGCTCTGGTCGCTGTGCACTGCTGCAAGGAGAGTGGGAATATGGAAACCATCAGTCAGCGGTGTCGGTTCACACTTACAGCCATGTGCAAAGAGGAGCCGAGGGAAAGCTGAGGTGCTCTGGGTGACTGTGGGAGAACAGCAACGTTGAACACGTGGCTTTCCAAGCTGGTTTGTGGACTGGCAGAGCTGGCCACCTGGGAAGGAAAGATCACATGAATGGGTACCTGACAGAGGACACCACTGCATTTCTAGACCAGTTTCATACCTTCCCTCTCCTCTCCTCCTGGTCTGGGAAGGCAAAGACACACCTTTCCAGCAGATACCAACCCAAAGCACACATGAATGGCAGTTGATGGGAACTAAGGCCTTTAAATAGTAACCAGTTTCTCCATTATTGCCTGTACAATCTAGAAATGGTTTACCTCTTTATTAACATTTAGAAAGATGTCTGTTTGTCAGTTCCCCACCTGCTATTCATTCCTGCTTCCCCCAGTCACTGCCATAGTTTTGCTGAATTTTACTCCAACTGTCTGTACGGCTTAGTGGAACTTTTCATCACAGGAACAGAAAAAATAATGGGGTTTTAAACCTGCCTCCCACCCTCAAAATGACCACCATTTGTGCTGACAAGGTGAAAATAACTGGTCTTTTCATTTGGCAGTGACTCCCTGTGATCCCAACATTTTCCAAGACGGGCTGCGCTTGCATTTCACAGAGACCCGTAAAAATTTTCCATACGCCACTATAACACCAAAGTTAAGTCAACGGTATCGAACTCATAATAGCAAACCTGCAGTAATGACATACAAAGCAAATAATATTACATTTGTAAAAATGCAAAGGATCAAAACCATCCCTTAGAGATAAGCCTGCAAATGTTCACAGCAATCCTGAGATAAGGCAAGCACCCAAAGAAATACAGCACCCTTCTTTGTTAGATTTGGTTACAGCTTTATCTTTCAGTAGGGATGAAAGTCCTCACTTGAATTCAATAGAGCACTTTGTGAGCGAGAACGGACTTCAGCACAAGCTTGATTTCAAGAAAATGCATGAAAATGCATAAAAATGCATGCTCTGCTGAAATGAATGAAATTATTTTAGCCATTTGCTGGACCTGTTCTGAGTTGCTGTCATCTGAACGGTAATTGCCAAAATACTGATGAAAACAACGTGTCGGCCCTTTCTGAGATGCCCCAACCCACAGTTCAAGACTCAGACAGATGTGTTACGGTGTCCTGATGTGACCCAGGCCATCGCGGCTTCCTTTCTCTGTAGGGCTCTCCATACCATTATTGCTACCGCTCCAAGATACTAAAACCAAACATTTAAGCCATGCAAAATACATAGTCTATAAGAGGAATGTAGCAATTAAGCTAAAGATTAGCTTGTTCAACATTGAGACTCACAAATTCCTCATTATCACTTACGCTAATTACTTTAGAAATTACCTTAATTGCCTCTCCGGTGCTACAGTAATAGCTTCTGACTTGTAAACCAGATGTAACAAATACTGCATGCAAGTGTTCACGTAGGCTTAGCATTATGGGAGGCTGTTAAACCTTCCAAGCAAACAGCAAGGACCTGTCTGAGGAATTGTATGGCCGTTAAACCTGTGGGGAGGTGGGATTTATTTTATATATACATCTGCTGGGAAGTATTTGTACCTTTTTGCCTGTTTGCAAGAAGTACTCTATAGCAAAAGTTAAATTATTAGCTTAGGGACTGCAGAAAGTAGGAGGGTCGCTTGGTTTTGGGGCTTGCAAAACAAACAATTTAAAAAAAGGCACTCGGAACACTGCACTTGCAGTAAATATTACAGGTTTTACGAGAGGGCAATGTATTTGCCGTGCAGTACCAAGGGATCAAACCTCCTGTCCGAACTGCAAATGGGGCATCAAAACCGCCAGGAACTGAGCTGCAGTAACACACCTTGCACGGGGAAGTCCTTTCACAGAGGCCTGGGTCGCAGGGATGCCTTAGGAGAGTGTGGGCCAGAGGACCTCTGTATGGGTCTCCTCATGCAGATTTGGCACCCAGCTGGAGGATCTCTAGGACAGCCAAACATGTGGCTATCTGGACCCAGCTCCCCACTTTTCCCTTGTCCCCTGGGACCAGCCTCATCTCAAAGGGTGGGAAAAGGAGGCAGCAGGTTACAAGACGGTTGTGAGTTACCCTCTCTGTTACTTGCTCTGTTACCTCTTCTAAGGATTGCCAGGCAAAAAACATTTCCTGTTCCCATTTGTTCCCCAAAAGCAACCCCAAGCACATCAGTAGGGTGTCCCCAAGGGTCAATCCTACCCCACAGGCAAAAGGCCAGTGGAGAAGGGATCACTGTCACAGCAAGAATCAGTTTCTGGACACACTGTGTCACGCCGATGGGATGTTACAAGCCTGCTAGTTTCATCCTGTGGAAGTTATAAGTGCAGATCTGTTTGCCTTCTCACTCTGGGGACTCTTGATCTCAGAGAGCTTTCCTGCTTAGACAAGCTAGCAGGCACTAGGGCAACATCATTGCTTTTCTACGCAACCCTTTCCTCCCTGAGATGGAATTGTTCTACAGAAAATCAGGCCAGCTATTAGTTTAATAGCTTAAACGTTAGATGCTAATTGAAAGATAATTTCCTCCAGATTTGCAATATGGCCTGTGATTTGACATCCAGAAGGTTAATGCCGTTGCATGCGGCTCAACACTGTGGGTAGCTGGCTGGCTCCACTGCCACAGATTAAAACCTGGGGATCCACGTGCAGCAAAAGCTCTCTTGTGCATGAGTAAGAGTCTCCCACAAATACAATGATGGGTTGCCTCCACCCTGACACATAAGCACATGCATATTCATCTACAGGCGAGCAACACGCACCTATATACATGTAAGTTTGTACGTAAATACAAATATATATTTACACACATATTTGTGTGTGCATGCATGTATTCATGTATGTGTTTCTGTTAAAACTTTGGGTCACAAGATACAGGGAACGGCAGACTGAGTAATCTCAGAGAAAAATGCCAGCAGAACTGCTGTGTGACCCCACCGTGAATACGATGAGAAGTACCTGGAATTGGAAGGAGTCACTCTCTACTTCGGATCCAGAGTGCCTGTACCACACAATGCCTTCGTTGATGTCCTGCTGGGTAAAAGAGGCTGTAGGTGAGGCTGCTCTTCCATCAGGCAAAAGCTGCCACGAGTCTGCTGGGCCATCTGCCGGCATTGGGACCAGAAGCACCACTTCACCTGGGAAAAGCAAAGATGAACAGCCAGGGCACAACTTGTGAGAAAACAAGGAGGAATAGATGCCTTTTCACCACCTAATGAGCATCCAAGACAAATGTCCGCCCGGTCTTAGTTTTTTTTCCATCTAGTGTGACTAACAGAAATAGCAGTAGAGCTCCTAAAAACCACTAATGGACCTTGCAACACCCCACTGACACAGGGAAATTTTATCTCCTGTTTTGGCAAAGGGCAGATCAAGTGACTCGTGCAAGTACGCAGAAGAAATGCACGGTCAAGCAAAGAACAGGATCCGCAACTTTAAACTCCCAAAATGTCGTTCTGCCCACTGACCAGCCCATTTCAACTTTGAAATGTGCCCGTTTGATAAACTGAGCAAAAAAACAGATGCGAAGGACATGCCTCACTTTCTGGAGCTCCTGTGAAGGGACAAGGGAGAAGTGAGACACAATCAGGGTTAAAAAGCATTGCAGCAGACCATCCATCTTCCCCTCAAGGGTACAACTCAAGTATCAGTATACAGCATACTAATTTTTTCAAGGTCAGCCCTTTTCTAGCTCTTTTAGGTACTTATTATGCCAAAAAGTATACGCAACCGACTTTTCTGAACAGAAATCTTCAACTGAAAAAGAGCTCTTATACAGAGGTCCTTTACTACATCTGTTCCATAGGCTGTATAGAAAGTCTGTATGCCCTGGTTTGTAGCTCTTACTCCAAAGAGTATATAGCTTTTATATCTCTAACGTCCAGCCTATTTCTGATTTTCGTATTAGAAATAGATTCTCAGCCGGACTGAAACATCGCTGGCTTCACTGCAGATATGACAGAGAAGAGCCGGATGGGGGCATGTCCCACTGGTTATCAACTTTCCTCACAGACGCCTGCAAGGGTTGGATGTTGATGCGACTGCTAACGTTCAACAGACTTTAATCCAAAAACATCATTCTAGTAAAATTACTCAAAGAGCCAAGCGCTGCCCACCAAGAGAAGGGTATCAAAACTCTGGTCATCAATTTCACTAGTGTGAACATTTTTCCTAACCACACATCTAAACGAAATTAAAACCTGACAAAGAGCTATAGTATCAAAATAAATGGCATATTTTTCTATTTTACAATGTAATTTACTTGTTTTGGAGTTCACATATAATCTGTGAAAAAATTACACATTTCCCCTATCTTTACTATTCTTGACTATATATAATTTAGCCGCTCTTTAAATAACTTGTCAGTTGTATATCGTGCTTTTCTACTAGTCTTTGAAAGTATCCCTTATGGCTACCAATTCAGAAGCCACATATATTATAAATCACTTCAACTCTCCTTACAGTATTAATCATTCTGTTATGCAAAATACCCATCATAAGTTCTCCCAGTTCATTTCCCAAAACCGCCCTCAAACAGTTGGAGTAATAAAAAAGAAATTCAGCAAGCTGAAATATCACACTTTGGTTTTATCATCAAACTCTATGCTAATATGCCCTTATCAGTGCCCTAATTACATCCCCAGTCTTACGCTTTTGCTCATGGGAGTTCACCACCTTAATCTTTCCTGTGGTTTCTGAAGATGCTAATCACATACCCAAAGGAGTTAGGGCCCGCAAGTTGTTTATCCCTCCCAAAGTTAAGAGAAGAAACAATTAGAACATAAGGCTGCTTTAAGCAAGATGTATGTCTACGTGTCTTCTTACAAATTAATATTTAACGCGATCAGAAGGAACAACTCTGTGATGTTTACTTATATAGTTTATGATTACCATTTCATCTGAAACATATTTTTTTTTTAAATAGAAAAGCACCTGTTGGTAGGTTACACACATGAATGTACAACTTGTGCACACTCAGGCAATTTACTGAAATATATGGAGACTATATAGCTGCAATTTCCAGAGCTGTGTAGAGGATTCAGGCACTACAGTCTCATTCATTTTAAGAAGAGTGGACACTTGCATCACTTTTCATTGGCTTTAGAAATGTCATCCTCTAAGGATGTATGTCACACGGAGCGGCTTAGGGTATAACAATACCTACTCATATAGAAGTGAGTATTTTTTCCACGTAACAGAGCTGTGTTGAGGCATCCTGTGTGCTGGGAGGAGAGCCAGGGAAGACATTGGTTCTATTTCTAGGGACAAAACAGGACGTACAGCATAAAGAGATCCTTAGAAAGATTCAACCGCTCTCTGGTATTGTATGTCACACGGAGCGGCTTAGGGTATAACAATACCTACTCATATAGAAGTGAGTATTTTTTCCACGTAACAGAGCTGTGTTGAGGCATCCTGTGTGCTGGGAGGAGAGCCAGGGAAGACATTGGTTCTATTTCTAGGGACAAAACAGGACGTACAGCATAAAGAGATCCTTAGAAAGATTCAACCGCTCTCTGGTGCCCAATTGCACAGAACCAAATCAAGCCCTGCAGAAGAAGGGGATCAGGACAGAGATCCTCCTTCCCTAATTATATCCTTTTTGTTTGGTTTCAGAGTCTTGAAATAAAGGGCAAGAAGCCTTCTTGGTCCGCACACTTGTGCTACAGAAATGTAGCAGATAATTCTAAAGTGGTTTTCTTTCCTATCTAAAAATCAAATTATGTATTTTCTACAGGTATGAATATCTTTTCCATTACTCAAATACTAAGACAGGCAGATAAGCCCTCCTTGATTAAGGTCACATTTTCTACATTTCTCTGTCTTTCTTTTCCCTCCCTTTCTGTGAAATACTGTTTTAGATAAAATTTTGAAGTTCCTTGATTTCTACTGCTTATTCCTCACCTGCAGCTAAAAACCCATTTGTGTTACTGCAATTAATTACAGTAGAGATAATTATGGTGATACAAATACAGGATTGTAAATTTTGGTTAGGGTTAGGCAGCAGGAGACAAGCTCCTCAGGGAAAAATTCTTGTTTTCATGTAAACACTTATTAGAAATGAGAAGACAGTCCTTCATCTGCAGAAAACTAAAGGGGGAATACAAATTAATTACTTCTCTTCTAAATTGCAAAAATAACATAATCTATGTTTCCATTAGGTACCGGCAGCTGTTATGGACACCAGCCTATTATCTGTGCTGGTTTTGGCTGGGAAAGAGTTAATTTTCTTCCCAGTAGCTGGTACGGGGCCGTGTTTTGGATTGGTGCTGGAAACAGCCTTGATAACACAGGGATGTTTTCGTTACTGCTGAGCAGTGCTGACACACAGTCAAGGCCTTTTCTGCTCCTCACCCCACCCCACCAGCGAGCAGGTGGGGGGGCACAAGAAGTTGGGAGGGGACATGGCCGGGACAGCTGACCCCAGCTGACCAAAGGGATATCCCACACCACAT